GGAATGTTGTGGGAGGAAAGGCAAAACCCAGCGAGCCCAGGTAATGCGTCTCTCGGTGCTGACGTTGTGTCGCGATGTCCAGGGCATTCTGCAGGGCAAATGGTGCCATCGTTGTCAGTGTTCGCTTACCGTTTCCGGGCCGGTAGTTGCGGGGCGGCGTGCTGGCTTCGCACTTCGCCCCCATTCCTCGAGGGAGGCTCCAGATGGTGTCCAGAGCGAGCCAGAGTCAGACCACGTCGTCGATTTTAGAGGGTAGAGCTGCGAACTAATGCGAGCTTGTGGCGCCTCCTTCCAACCGAGTCTGGGGCTGTTCTGCAGGTCGCTGGTCGTGGCTCAAACCAGAGAGAGTGACCAGCCTGCCAGCGAATCTCTTTGTGCGTTCGTGCCTCGAAACGTGGTAGCCTTGATGACGGTGTTCGGCCACAAATCAAATATAGTACTCAGGAGGACTGCATTCCTCTCCATCTGCAGGAACCGATCACTGCCTGTTTGATGTGGTCAGGAGCGTACTTGGACGTGCCGGTGAGCCGGTGAGCCGTGCAACCGGCCCACGTTACCTTTCCTCCTCCGCACTCGGCTGTTTCAACAGACGAAGGATGCATAAAGCTGATACGAGGAATACTACAGTAAGGAGTATACAAAGTACACCTAGACACAGACTTTTTGACAGTCAACCTGCTCTTGTCCTTGGCACGCGAGTTGCCAGAGTGAAACAAATGTAGACCCGTTAACAGAATAGTCATTGGCCCTTTCCCCGACTTACCCGGACTCGCTTCAGCAAGATCACCGATCCGATTGCCTTCGAAGGCAGGTAATATCCGATATAGACTACAATGCGGAATACTGAGCAACTGAATAGCTACTGCCTGTGCACCATGCATAGCACGGTCTCAATGAGGACGGGCGCTCGTCTGTTCGGCCGGGACCCTCGGCGTTTGTTACACAAAACGGTCGAGGAAGAGATAGTTTCTGCTGCGCGAAGCTTGCATTCAGACGGGTTCAGGGGAACAGTACGCAGTATAAAGAACAGAACTCTGGGCGTAGTCGCAAAGAGACCCCCACGCGTTGCAGCGGCAGACCTGCATCAGCAAGGCGGCCCAGGGCTGTAGGGAGCGAGTTTCGTGAAGGCTCGAGGCGTGTGGAAAACTGCTTGAGACAGTGTTGAGGTCTTCCGGACTGCACATCAGCAGCTTGGTAACCTGCCACCAGTACTCACCTGGTTGCTGTCAGTACCCTGGGACTGCTAGCAGGGGAGTCGCAATTGTATCACGGCTGCGCAAGGGCACGCGCTCGTCATGTCGCCGAGGAGAGACTGGCCGTTATTCCGTCGCAGCTGGGTCGACGCCGCCTTCGCCTCTTGACACTCTCATCTCGACTTTCGCACGGCGTATTGGCCCAACAGCTGACCTCTTTACAGTGATGCGTGCGCCCAAGCATCACCACTCGGTGACGGCAGTTCGTCCGACGCGGGAGGCTCAGGTTCCGGAGTTGACTCGCTTCGCTCGAATACCGGTAAGATCGACAGCATCAGCCACAGTTATAGCATCGTAGACAACGCAGAGAGGTCAGAATGGTACTCGGGACTCGTATCGAGCTCGAGTTGACAGTCGCAGGGCGAGGTGTTCGTGTTATCGTATTTTCGTGGCGCAGCGTCGCGGATGTCGAGCACGCCGAGGAGGGTTTCCTCTTCCACCAATCGTCGCGGTCCTGCCCTGCAGCAGCCTGGAAGCTACCACATAAGCGAGCCAACTGCTCGCCGCGTTCCCTGCTCCCCATTTCTGGCCCATGATTGCTCGAGGGAAAGGTGCACCCGTGCAGATTGTGCCCGGCTCGAAGTGGCTAGCCAGTGACCCTGCGACCGCATTCAACGGCTGCTTCTGCTTCTGCGGAAGTTCCCTTCGCCTCCCACAGACATCTCAGCAGCAGAGGTCAGTTAGCGTCAATATAAGACAGGGCTCCAGATGACAATGTGAACCTCTCTCTCGAGCGGTGCATCAATCTCGCCACGAGCACAATGATAACCCCGCCGCAGCCGACCATGACCGCTCCCCTGGACTTAGAGTCCGCAGGCCGCGAATTCGACAAATGGCTGGACTGGAATGGCGCCGCAAACACGTCGAACGAAACTCCCTGCAACGGCTACCTCGCTGCAAAACCAGACAACTTGGTCCGCCTCCCGATTTCTCCATCATCGACGGTGAGCGGCGACGCACACCTTGCTCACATCAAGACCGACTTCCTCACCGCCGCTCCTTCCCACGACCTCCTTACCCCTCGCCACAGCTCAGCTTCCCCCGAATCTCGCTCCAGCTTAGAGATGAGACTGAGTGGGGATACCTTGAGAGACGAACATACCCCCAGCCAGCGCCCTATGCTCAAGCGGAAGTTATCTCCCACTGATATCCCGACGACCGATTACCGCTCCGAGGCTCCCACCCCGGCGGTAAAGAAGCGACCACACAATATCATTGAGAAGCGATATCGTGCCAACCTCAATGAAAAGATCGCGGAGCTGAGGGACAGCGTACCCAGTCTCCGTCTAGCGCAGAAATCAAAGATACGGGACACCACCGGGGATTCCGACGAAGATGATTTGGATGGCCTTACACCAAGTAACAAGCTGAACAAGGCTTCAATCTTAACCAAGGCTGTGGAGTATATCCGACACCTCGAGTTCCGTACAAAGCGGCTGGAGGAAGAAAACAATGCACTCAAAGAACGGCTCGAGACACTCGACAAAGTCATCGCTCAGGGAGGCAATGATGCTCAGAGAGCCGCGGCCTTCACGAGTGACGTTATCATTGAAGAATCGTCGTCTTTGTCGACTGCTCAATCTCCGCCGTCAACGTCAGATACGCCTGCCAAACCCGCTCAGGGGCTGATTCCCCTACCCGAGAGCTGGAGGCGTCTACGCCAAACCCAGTCCCAAGACCATTATGGCCATATCTATCAGACGCCGGCAGAACGCTCTCGGCTGAAGGGCAAATGGCCTACCAAACTCATATTGGGCTCGGTGGCCGCTCTGATGGTTATGGATGGCCTCAGTGAGTCAGATATGGGCACAGAGTCCCGGGAAAAGGGCCTCTTTGGCATCCCTTTGGAGATACTCGATGGCTGGAGCTTTCTGCGGTCGCCGCGGATCTACTTGGCCACGTTCAGCCGGTATTGCCAGGCTGGAGGGGTCATTCCCCTGATCAAAGGGTTTATCGCCCTGACCTTCCTCGCGTTCCTCGTCTTCTCATATCTGTTCAACTCAAAGCCGCCGCCGAAACCGGACATCGAGGAATCGGCCACCAGGTCCAGTCAGGCGCCTGTGCCGGCCTCCCCCATCGAAGTCCGACGACGGGCCTGGAGCACAAGCATGCAGGAGCTGCAACTACCTCACCACAACTTCTTCCCGGAGTGGTTGGCTATCACTTCCGAGTGGCTCAAGTACAGTTTTGGCTACCTCTTTGGCCCGCGGGCCTATGCTTGGCTCACGGGCCGCACTGCTGACGACGCTGTGGCCCGGATCAAAGCATGGGACATTGCTATTGACGCTCAATTGGCCGGTGGTGATGCCGAAGTGAGCCGGAGCAGGCTCCTCTTGACCATCTTCGGGGCTGGAAACCTGCCCAGGACGCCCTTGCGCTTGATGCTCAAGTCGCTGCATTGCCGGGTGCTCTTGTGGAACGTGGGCGCACTCGGAACTGGCCTATCCAGCATCGCTAACCGCCTTGGGAAATTCTTTGCAAACAGGCAATGGAGCCGCGCCAAAACATCACAGGACAATCTGCCCCTGCATCATGCGGATCGGTTGCCTCGTCATTTGTCACAACTGCTCGATATGCCGTGCGACGAGGTCTTCCAAGACACGGTCTGTCAGAGAGCGTATAACCTCATGTACGACCGGCCCACGGCGGAAGGCTCTGCCAATCTACTCCTGGACGTTGTCGTCGAAGACCACGCAGTGCGGTCCCCACTGGACGCAGTTGCTGCCTGGAGGTCTTCCCTGTCATTGACCCAGGCCCTGGATCTATCCCTGCAAACACCCGCTGCTTCCGAGCTCATCCAAGAACACTTGAATGCTGCCTTGAAAATAGCTCCACCGGGCTCAGCAGCTGAAACACGGGCATTGGCTGCAAGCTCCGTGCTCAGCAGCACCGGTCGTCGTGCATGCCTTGCGCAAGCTTCTCGAGCAATGGAGATTCCACCCTTACCAAGTACGCAGCTTGAAGCTGAAGTCCGGCCCCCTTTCATCATCGATTCCTCCACACCGGTCTCAGCTAGGACGGATATCCTGAACTGTCTGCATTGCGCGGAGACCCTGCAGATTCTGGACCACGAGAAGGACCCGAATAAAGCCCGGGCATTCTTTGAGGCAAAGACGCTCGAGATCCACAGCACCCAGTTGCTTGCCCGAGCGGCGTTAACGCATCTTCTCTGGCGGCTGCCACTGATCAAAACACCAGCGCCGGCTGGTAGGGAAGAGGTTGGCATTACACCACACGATCACATATTCGCAGCTGACGTGTCGGTTATGAGAAGCAGCAAAGGCAAACCACCGCGCCGCTATAGCACGATCAGCACCGATTCCGGTTATGAGAGCCAGGACGGCTCGACGTCTGCCTGGGATGTCGACCTCGAAGAATCACGGTGTAGTAATGACCTGGATATGGCGTTCAGACAAGGATTTGAGGTGTAACTATATAGATAGGCAACGCAATAGCCAATGTCGTGCGGAGCGCTGGCGGCGAGCACTTGGGCTATAGGTTAATGACATATGCTACTGAACAACATATCCAGATATTGTATGTGTCCACGGAATCTTCCCTCGTCTTGCTGTCGCCGTCGTGACAGTGTCCAATGTCCCAAGGCCTGCCAGTCTCGCAGTCCGCCATTAAAGGACAGTAAATGATGTCATTCGGCGTAGGATTTCTCATCCCCACGAAACGCCATTTCGTCCCTGTCGCGCTTCATCTACTCCTGAATTGCGTGTGCGAGGCTGCTCTGGTGTCAACATGGAGGGGAACGAGCACAGTGTCGATGCCATCTGGCAGATTGGCGTCTTTGATGCTCACTGTCACCCGACCGATATCTTGGCATCCATCAAGGACATCGCCAACATGAAAGCTAGGGTTCTTGCCGTGATGTCGACGAGGCTACAAGATCAGCACCTCGTCCGAGAAGCTGCAGAGAGATACCTGCTCAAAGATCCACACGCGGACTTTACAGAGGATAGCTCGAGATACGTGATTCCGGCGTTCGGATGGCACCCCTGGTTCTCACATCAGCTCTACAATGATCTGGACGAGGCTGGTGTCGAACCGGACCAGGTGCAGCACTATGAAAATGTGTTGACACCGAAGCCGGATGACGTTCAATTTATGCAGGCTCTACCGCGTCCGCGATCTCTCCGCCAGTTTCTCCAAGAGACGGAAGAGAGGCTGAAAGAGTTTCCATATGCGCTCGTCGGAGAGGTCGGGTTGGATCGTTCTTTCCGTCTGCCGGAAGGACCAAGCGCCATGACAGGCGATATGAAGAGCAAGACTGGAGGTTCCGAGGAAGAGTATACTCCCGGGACACGGGAGGGGAGGCCGCTGTCGCCTTATCGGGTCAACATCGACCATCAGAAGGCCATCTTGAAGGCACAGTTCGAGCTTGCGGCAAAACTTCGTAGGCCGGTATCTGTCCACAGCGTCCAAGCACACGGCTTGGTGTTTGAAGTCATGGAGGCTCTTTGGAAGGGGCACGAGAAACCTTCGAAAGCACAGAGAAAGAAAGCCAGGGATGTGGCAAAGGCTCATCTCGATGATGAGAGGTCGCAGGCACTGGAGCAGTCGACGGCATCTCCCTTTCCGCCGCGTCTATGCATGCACTCTTACTCTGGCCCCCCAGACGCCCTTAAGCGGTTCCTCGCGCCCTCCATCCCTGCGGACATCTACTTCTCTTTCTCCATGGCAATCAACTTCTCGAATACGTCCACCGCAAAAGTCACCAGTGTCATCCAGGCGGTTCCGGACGACAGAATACTTGTGGAGAGTGACTTGCATTGTGCTGGGGAAAGAATGGACAAGCTTTTGGAGGAGATCGTGCTCAAGGTGTGCGAGATCAAACAATGGACGGCGGAGGATGGCGCGCGACGACTGAAAGCAAATTGGATGAGATTCATGTTTGGCTAAAGAAGTCGACTGTCACTACTTGGATTGGCACAGGACATTTCAACCTCGAAGGCCTGTAGATCGCCATCGCGAGTGGTTCCTGGGTCCGCAGGAGGCAGCATACGGCCCGTCGATCTTACTTGCAGAGCAATCCTTGCTGCCGTGATAGCAGCTGATCTGCTGGGCGGTGAATTCAATATCATGTGGCAACGTGAAGCGCGCCAGCACCGGTTGAAAGATTCAACAACAAGGCAGTTAGAACCGCTGCCGGACCTGTTTGCACGCCTTTCTTTCATCGCGTCCCGGGAGCAAACACCTAGATCCCGATTCTCCAACCAACAGTGCAAGCTTTCTGCTCTCTGCTACTATGGCACATCCAATCGAGAATGGGCGTTCCCAGACCGCGACGATGCTACTGCCATCCCGGATTGCCTTTCGCCTTGACCCTCCAGAGACTTTCAGATACACGGACTTCGTCATCCGAGCAGCACTTCCACGAGTGCCTCACAGCATGACCGAAGAGGCCGCAAAGGCCAAGTACCTACGCACTCGATTGAAAAGACTGATGCGAGTCGTGGAAGCTCGCCTAGGAAAGGGCCGATGCTTTTTCGGTGAATCTCAGCCGAGGGATCGAAAGAAGGATACACAGTTCAGCGTCACCAAGCTGTATGCGCTATACGAGGTCGAGCACTGGCCTGGCGCCCTTGCGCAGTACGAATGGACACAGTTCGTCATTGCGAACATGGAACGCGACGCAATACGCGAGCGACTCGGTTCCGATGTGAAGCTTGCCTGTAAGTGCTCTTGTTCCCGGCAATCGATGATCTGCTGCTGACAATTTCATGCAGTACCAATGCTCCCGTCCTCTGCTTTGCCGAAATATCAAGAGATGATGCGACAAGAGGGTTCGGATCTGACGAGACGCGTCCAGCCACCCGGTCAAATCAATGGCGTCGTTTCGGGCGGAGGTCGTCGTGTCTACACGTCCCATGACCCTCGAAGGAATGAGTTACATGATCGACCTACAGCACACCATCTGTCAGAACGGGCTCAGTTGATGGTGCGACTCCCTGACCTTCCAGATATCCGCCGGACCCTTTTCGAGATTCCGAGTGGTCAGCTTCAGGCGATATCGCGGAACGATCGATTATACCGGAGTACCTGCGACAGTCACAAGAGCTGGGTTCAGAAGGAGTCAAAGTCGTTGACCAGCCATTACATACGTTGCCTTGGTCGTGAGCCCGATGCAAATCTCCTGACTTGGCCACAACTCAAGGCTGAGGCGAGGAAGCTGATGGGCAGCACCCTCTACCAGCAGATAATTCAATGGACTCGACAGCAACCCAACCTCAACTTCAAGCTCGGGGACGGAACAGAACTTGTTGACCGTCAGCTATCCTTCTTGACCATCCGCATGAACCACCACGATCCCATACCGCACACGGCGTCAATCCAAGTTCAGACGGAGCGCACTCGAAAGCACCGCATTGTAGCCATGCTCCAGCAGCGGCAAAGCCTGAGAGAATGGACGATAGCAGTGGCGGAGCAAGCTAGGTTATGTGTCGGCCAAAGATACCGGAAGGAACTCGACCACGTCCTCGATTTTTGGACTGGCAAGGCCGAACGCTTGGAGGAGTTCAACGAACGCAACAGAAAGGAGAACACTGGTCTGAGGTCCGATATGCTGCCGGTAGGGGCGCAACCAGCTGTCTCTACGGCGCAGGTTCAAGAGCAGGAACAGCCACAGGTGCAGGGTCCAATGCAGGCACAAGTACATGACCAGACTACTCAGAGTGAGGTGTCGGCCCGTCAACAGGAACAGGAGGTTGACCACACGCCGCTCCTGGAGCGCATGCAACAGAAGGCTCGGATACCGAATTCAGTCCACACTCACAGCCAGTTGGAAGCCCTTAACGAAGCGCAGTCGCAACCGCAGTCATTGAGATCGATCCAAACACAAGGACGCAAACAGGAGCACGTGGACATCGAGATGATTGACTCGATCCGAGCACACGGGCACCACCAAGTACAAGCGAACGCACAGACAACTGACTCGGCGCAAGCGCAAGCACAAGCTACGGAGCCCATTCAGCTAAAGGCCTGTAGGGACGTGAACATAATATCCCCGGCTGCAAGCCAGACGCCGGCACGGGAAGAGGCTCAAGAGGAGGTATGCAATCAATCGCCTGAGCCAGAACAACTCGAAACCTTCACACAATTCCAAGCTCAAGTACATATTTGTGCAAGTTCGTGTGAGGAGGTATCGACAGGAGCTTCGAATGCGTTCCCTATGGAAAATGTCGTGCACGAGCATGAGCAGCATGAAGATCTTGGACAGATACAACAGCAAGGCGTGCCACGGGCGCACTCCCCAAAGGCAGTCTCCGTGCCAGAACTGGTATCTCTTACAGCGCCGTCAGCGGCTCCGGTTCAAATTCAAGCACATGTCCCGCTGCACGTAGAAGAGATGTCTCCATTGCAGGCTCAAGAAGAGATTCAACAGCATGCACAGGAGCTGTCTCCATCACGAGCTCAAGAAGAGATGCCACAGCACACGCAGAAGCTGTCTCAGGTTTTCGCTCCATTAACGCAACCAAAGCCCGCCGAAGCACAAGAGGTGTCACTTTTCCAGCGGGTGATTCAGGCACGGCTGCAACATTCGCTGCCAGGGGACTCGCAGGGATCTCTAGCAGCGCAAAATGCTGCGCCGTTGACTTTGTGTGATTGCTTTCAGGATAAAGTGACGGCCAGAGTCCAGGCGCAAAGCCAGATGCTACCCATCGAACAGGCGCGACCTCAGCAGGTGCCGCGGGCAGAGGAACAGCTGACCAGCGAGCAACAGAACCCAGGCGGAATGCTTGTTGAAGGACAAGCCCAAGAGACAGTGCCTTGTGAGGAACGAGACCAGACGCAAGCAGAACAATCAGAATCTCAGGAAGCACAATTGCACGCAGCCAAGCTCGACGCTATTGAAAACCCCGTCGTGGCTATGGACGAGGAAGTCGTAGAGCAAGGGTCTCAGCCTCCGACTCAATTCTCACATGCACAGCGAGCCGAGGAGGATAACGTCAACCCCACGCGTCCATCAGATTCGGGTCCTCAAGTAGAAAAGACTGCAAGCCACCGTATTGAAAAGTGTCACCATTGCACGAAATCCAAGTTGCGCTGCAACGGTGAACGACCATGTCAATTCTGTCTCAAATATCGCAAATGCTGCTACGATCTCAACGCACGACCTGCGCGAAACATGAGGGGACGGAATCTCAAGACATCTAATCGATCGACAGCCAATGATGGCAAGCGTCGAGCAGCAGCACCCGAAACAGCAGACGACCAACCACGTCGACAGCCAAAGCCACTAGAAGAAGTTTTGTCCACGCAGCAGGAATCGGCAGGTCAGCCTCAAGGAGCGATCACCACAAACAATGTGGATGCAACAGAGCTGGACACTCACCTTTCCGACGACGACGACGACGACGGTACCGAGCGTCTCGAGAGTTTTGCCGCGAGCGAGACACCCCATCGTGCGCAAAGTCAGGGTGAGTACCACGGTTATGATACCAAGCAGCAGCAACAGCAGCAAACGCAGTCTCAACCAACCAAAGCTGCTAGGAAGCCCAAACAGAAAACTCTCAAAGCCCGTAACGTCACTACCAGGCTGGCCGAGCAGAAGGAGGCAGAACAGGGTCGCCGTTCGTTGCGCGCAATGGCACATCGGAGTCATACCTAGGAGAAGGTGGGTGTGAGGCGGAAATGCGAAAACCACCACATTGCATGCCGTGTTGTAGCACGGCATACGCCGTGAAGAGCATTGCATTGCCTTGCCTTGCGTTGCGGGTATGTTACGAACTGAACGTGTCTTGCGAAGAAACCGGCGACGAAAGGTCAAGCTGTTGGTTGGGTACCCAGGTACCGTACTGTGTGCTGCTGTCCTGTACAGTATTCAGGCTGTTTGCATACATCGGACCATCGCATGGTCGGGTTGGTGTCTGCGTAATCGGGCTATCGAACCCTCGAGCATGCCCCATCGAGAACAGTCAAAAACATATGATATCGTGGTGCGGTATCCGGTGAAATGACAGATGATTCGTTGCGGCAAGGCCACGCTCAAGAGTGGTGCGTGTGCGAAATCGCAACCTTAGATCAGCCACGCAGCCTTTGAAGAGTCTCGTGTTCGGTCCTGGCTTGTCCTATCATATCATATCCTGTCCTGTTCTATCCCGCTTCATCCTCCTCCTCGTCGTCGTCGTCGTCGGCGTCATCTATCTACCTACCTAGCCAGCTAGTCTCACACGGAACATACAGTACCCAGTACCTAATCAGTAGATGTACGGTATAAACCCGCCACTTCCAGCGCCCAACAAGCCAAGCTTGCACGGGACCTAATTACAACAAGGGCTACCTGGTGGTAAGGATGTCAATCAATCAAGATGTGCCGAGCGGGCGACTGAGGTATAGGACCAACTATATCGTTAGATTCATTCGGAAGTCTAGCAGAGGGTGCAGTTGCTGCTCGCGTTGGAAGTATCCCGTAGGTACCTATGCATGGACTTCAAGGTAGTTACCCCCGTGGAATGACCCGCTTCTCATTCATCACTCATCGCTCGCTCGCTCGCTTTATACGCTTGTGTTCTTCTCCCAGTTGGCGTGGTCTGGTGCAGTTGGATTACGCAGTCTACGCGGGCAGTGCGTTGTCATTATGGAGGGAGTGATGCGGTGTGCAACCGCACATTTTCACACACACACACACACACACACACACACACACACACCCACACACACACACACACACACACACACACCCACACACACACACACACACACACACACCAGCCCGTTGTACTGTGCGAACATACTATCACAATGAGCCTCAAGGTTACAGGACGATCAGGGTTCCCTTTCATGATTTTTTATAGTGCCACACCAGGAGAATCAATCTATCCCACTGGTTTGAATCGCGCGAAATGACATACTCCTATTCAACAAGACCCGGATTGTTCTCTACCGACTAGCATTTGTCTATCGGCATTGCGTTTTGAAAAAGATGAGACATTTCTCTATCCTCATAGCAGGGCCGAAAAAGCCCTGCGTATCAGGACCGTTGCAATGACTTGCCGTCATCATCTCATCCCATTGGTGTTCATCCCCTACAGGCTCAACATCCACTCAGTTGCCCGTCTCATGACATCTTCGCTTTGAAGCACCTCGTCATAGTCTTTTCGGCGTTGCTTGTCATACAAATGCATGCGAAACCATAACCTTTGATATGCAGGGTCGTAAAGTCATGGTTTTATCTATCAGTCTCTGCAAGACGACTGGCGCTTTACAACTTGTCTGTTGGTTTGTTAGGAATCTGTGCACACGACAGCGAAAGAAGCATAGGGACTTACCATAGTAGTTGTCATAGCCCGGCACGTTCTCCTTGAGACCCTTTCTCTTACGCATTTCCGTGACAATCTTGCCAACCATGGTGTTGGGATCAAGAGGCGACCCACCAGGAAGAATCTGCCAGTGGTCGAAGACGGATTGAGGGAAGGCTTGACCACCGGTGCCGGCACGCAGGTCGGCGTTGAAACCGAACGACTCCAAGACGGGAAGATAGGCCTTGACGGTGAACAGGGGAGTACCGACACGCTGTTCCTCGGAGAAGACGTGACCTCTTCTTCGGGTAAGGACACCGTAGATGCCGCCCATGGCTTGCTCAGGCACTTGGATTTCAACCAAGTAGACGGGCTCGAGAAGACCAGGCTCGGCCAACAGGGTGGAGGCATAGAGCACACGTCGAGCGGTGGGGATAATCTGACCACCACCACGGTGAATGGCATCCGCGTGAAGAGTGACATCCATGATGTTGAATCGGATCGATCGCATGGGCTCTTCGGCAATAGGACCTTCACGAGTGGCCCATTGGAAACCAGACACGAACGAATCCTTGATTTCGTTGAGATATTGAACGGCCTTGGTCTGGTCAACCAACAAGTTGGGACCGGTGGTATCGGGACCAAATGCCCAAATCTTTCGGGCGTCGGTGACATCCCAGCCGTGATCATCAGCAAGGATGCGGGCACGAGTCTTGAAGTCGTCACGGGGATTGATTCTTCCTTCTTCGATTTCCTTGGACACTTCCTCACCGAGAGGCTCGGCGATGACGTACAGACGGTTGTGCTTGTTGGGGGACTTGGACAAAGCCGTCATGCTAGAGGCTGCGCCAACAGTCTCACGGTAGGCGACGACGGGGTCGCTGATCTTAAGTGGCACGCCGGCGTGATCTTCCTCGAGATCCTTCAAGCAGATTTCCAAGTGCAATTCACCAGCACCGGCAACGATGTGCTCGCCGGATTCCGAAATTTGAGTCAGGACACAAGGATCTGACTTGGACAATCGCTTGAGACCTTCGACAAGCTTGGGCAAGTCGTTGGCATTCTTGACTTCGACGGAGCGTCGCACGACAGGAGACACGGAGAACTTCATGACCTTCAAGTTGTGGGCAGTTTCCGACGTGGTGAGAGTACCAGACTTGAGCAGGAACTGGTCAATGCCAACGAGCCCAATGATGTTGCCGGCGGGCATGTCGTCGATGGGTTCGACGGTTCTACCCATCATGAGGACCGTGCGTTGGATGGCCTTGACGAAGAGATCTTCCTTCTTGCCGGGAACATAGTTGGGGCCTTGGATACGGACCTTCAAGCCGGATCGAACCGTACCAGCAAAGACACGACCGAAGGCGTAGAATCGACCCTTATCGGAGGTAGGCACCATCTTAGAGACGTAGAGCATGAGATCGGCCTTAGGGTCACAGTCGCGGATGGCAATGCAGGCCGGGTCATCGGCAGGACCCTCATACAGAGTCTCAGCGCGATACTTTTGTGCCGTGACAGGCGATGGCAGGTGGATAACCATCATTTCCAGAAGTGCATCAGCGGCTGGCAGGAATTTCCTCATGGCAGCCTTGAGGAGACCTTTGCCGGGCAACTCCTTCTCCTCGCTGGTGATCTTGATATCCAATTTGGCGCAGAGCTCGACCAGCTGATCGACTTTGCCCTTGGTAAAGGCATCGAAGATCTTGAAGATAGGATCGAGGATGAACTGGTTGAAGGCACGCTCGAGCCGCTGACCCTCGTGCTCCCCAACCTTGGTCCACTTCTTGGTCTTAGGGTTGAAGTAGCTGTCACCCCACAGACGCTCCATCATCTTGGCCTTGTCCACGCCGAACTTCTTGGCATATCGGACAGCGAATTGGCGGATGGTGAAAGCCCAGCCGTGGAGGCCGGAACCGAAGGCGACTGTACCCTTCTCGGGCCAGACTTGAACATCACCGAGAGCCTTGTCAAGGTAGGTGGAGATGATGACATTGACAGATTCGATTGTCCGCAGGAAAGATTGGTAAAGATCTTCCTTTGAGACTTGCAATTCGAGCAGAGCGCGATCGACTTTGTTGATGATGACAACGGGCTTGATACGCTCACCAAGAGCCTGTCGCAGTACGGTCTCGGTCTGGACGCACACGCCTTCGATGGTGTCGACAACGACCAAGGCACCGTCAGTGACTCGGAGAGCAGCTGTCACCTCAGACGAAAAATCAACGTGGCCAGGTGAATCGATCAAGTTGATCAAGAACTCGTTACCATCGACTTTCTGCGTCCTATATCAGCGGCTGAGGAGTTTGGGGGCTGCACAGGGCTTTTCGTACCTGTGGGATATCCTTGAGATCTTCCTCATTGGGAAGGTGAGCGTACAGAGAGATGGCAGTCGACTTGATGGTGATGCCACGCTCCTGTTCGTCTTTTCTCGTGTCCGTAAACCGACTGACATAATGTTATTAAGCTTCTCATCCTGACTCTCTTGTGTGCACCTACGCTTCTCCTGCTTTTGCTGCGGAAATAATACCAGCTCGCTGGACGAGGGAATCGGTCAAGGTGGACTTTCCGTGGTCGACTGTGATTCTTGTCAGTTTCATGAAGCTGTGTGGCAAAGCTTTGGACACCGACCGTGAGCAATGACGGACATGTTACGGATATTCGCCGGCTTGTCCATCAACTACAAATGCGTTGTTAGTCCACGGCCGGCTGGGCATGGTCTCACGATCGTCCCGTCTGATAGTGGGAGGGCCTCCATCAGGGACAGATGGCGACTTACAGCGCGGATCTCGTCGACGGTGAACTATCGATGTGTTAGTTGTTACCATTTCTGATGTCGTTCTTGGTATCTAGACTTACGTTGACCATCTTGACGGTGTTGGGTGTTGAAGGGCCTTAGAACGGCGGATTGGGCGCTCTCTTGAGCTGACGAGGAATTGGGGCACAGTTGAGGGCTCGCTCAATCTGCTGGAGCACTTGGCGTCACCTGCGCTGAATGCGATGAGGGAACCGATGATATGTGCAGCTGTACGAAGCCGCGCGTTGACGGTGAAGTACTCGAAAGGGAGAGGTGAAGGAGGGGCTCTGAAAATCCTGGTGGTTGATAATTCAGCAGTGCGGGCCACTGCCAAGCATCGCTCGACTGCGCATTAACCCCACCAATGGCTTATTTGCAGCCATCGAACTGGTGGCGGTATCACTGACCCGGCCCGGAGGCTGCCCGGAGTTAAAGGTGAAGTGACCAAGGTGTGACTGACTATGTACAAGGTGGCTACACTCAAGTGACCGATAAGTGACTCCGACTACAAGGAGATAAGTGACTCTGACTCCTACATGTTCGACAATTGTCTTATGAAAGCACTGCGAAATTTGTGACTCATCGAGGGGATTCGCTGGCGAATCTGTTCTCGCATCGGCGAGAGTTGAAGAAGGCAATTCGTCAAAGTGTTAGTCACGTCTGTCGAAGGTGCCCAGGAGTGGACATCGGTCCCGAGATCCTTACATTTTGTACATATTGTGTGCTGAAATGTAGTAGGACCATGGACCTCTTGATGAGGGGAAAGAACAATTTTTAATGCCGATGGTTGTAAATATACTCGCTTGAACGCTCTCATTGCCCAAATGTCCCAAAAACAGGCTGTATTCAACAGTCGAGAAGAGCACGCCTGACACTAACCACGAAGCAGCTCCCCTGCCCCGGCTGTGTGCGTTGCAGACTGACAGCAAGGCTTCCGGCGTCACTTCCACACATTGTCTTCCTCAATCAAGCTAGCATACTGTCCTTCTCCGCGTTCCGTGCCATTCTGGTTCAGTGGCCGACCTCGGTCTCCTTCATCCAGTATGTTGCTCTCATCATCGCTCACTGCCCTCTCTGGAGCTGGCGGCCTTGATGGCACCTTGCTGGGGTCGTAACCTTCGCGGATATCCTCGCCCTCTGGGGCTTCCTCATCAATACTGTACGTACGAACAAAGTGTCGCTGTGGTCCGCGGTTCCAGGCATCGCTGCCTTCTTTGCGTGCTCGCACGATCTCTGCTTCTTCTGCTTCTGTATCTTCGACGACCAGGTCCACCAGCTGGCTCCGATCCGATTTACCCGAGGCCGAAGGCGACCGCTCTTGCTGTCGTTTTAGTTTCGCTTCGATTGCACCCTGTTGAGAGGAGCCCTCAGATGGCGAGGTGCTTCGGTTTTTGCCTTTTCGAATGTGCTCTTGTAACTCACTGCGACGCCTGTTTTTATGATCGCGGGTAGGCTGAAGTAGATTGCGGTTTGTTGCTGTGGTCAGTATCTCGGGATTGCGCCGCATCCAGTCCTCACGCCGTGCTTCGTGTGCTGTTATGACGGGATACTGCACAGACTATCAGCAAGGCACTTGTCGACTACTGGGGACAGAGACAACTTACGTTCCAATCGCCGAACTCCAAAGCTCGCGCATTGGTATACAACCTCTCGTCCTCTGCGTCAATGCCTATCTCGATATCGGGCTCGGTCGCGCGGTAGTCATGCGCCTTGCCTCGGGATTCGGGTGCTGGAGCCCTCGACGCAGCGTCTTTACCCAGTAAGGGGGTTCGACTGCTCGGATCTTGTGGCTTTGCGATCCAGTATTTGCCCTTACCACCTCTCTCATACCTCATGCCATCCATCATCCGAGCCACGCGAGAGTGAGATTCCTCATGAGCAATGACGTTGTCACCAGAATCGAAGCTTCTGTAATCATAATGCTTGCCCCTGAATGTCTCTTTCGTGTCTTCGATCAAATCCCGAGGGCCAAATGCATCCCTCAGCGCATACCTGACCGGGAGACGAGCGGCTGAAATGGTTACATCAGCGTAGTCATGCCACGAGAATGCGTACCAATGCGAGATGGCGAAGATGGGCATCTCGAAGCAAATCAAGGCATCCTGTATCGCTGCAGCCAGGTTGTCGGGCGTGTAGCCCGGAACGTCGTTGGGAATGGCGCCGAGGAACTGCAGAATGGAGAGGAAGAAGCCTTGCCAGTAGGATGCAAAGATGATGAGTTTGATGCACAAGAACTTTGGCATCGGTCGGAAAGGCTTGAGGTCATTGTGCATACAAACCCAAAACATGGCCAGGAAGTACAAGCTCACGGTCACACTGACGTTGTAAAGAAGCCCTGTCCAGAAGTAGCCCGAGTCCACCGAAATGTAGCCTTCTTTGTATGTGTTGGTGGATTTCAGTATGATGGTGGCGGCACCGAGGATAGGCTTCAGCCAGGCATATTGTAAAATCCCCCGTTTGATCAGCAGGAAGGTATGAGGGTCGGATATGTCCATCTTGGGGCACCACAGACTTATGGGCCACGGGTGGGAGACGGGAGGTCTCCCATGCGTCATGATAATGAGCGAACGCTCGCCTCCGAGGAAGTTGATGAGGAGTTGGACGAAGGTGTAGATTGTGAACGCCTCGTAGATGTCGCGCAGAGGATCGAGGTAGAAGGCGGCTTTGAGGGAGATGATCGAAGCCCATGACGCCGCCGAGTAGATGGGCACCATGAGTAGAATTCGGATAACATATCGCTGCAGCAAAGGCTTCCGGTAGTTCTTGGATTGAAGCCATATCGACCTGGTACGCGGTTAGCAGTGAACGCGCCTGCGCAATATGAGGACAGGCACATACAACACCGAGATCAAGGTGGCTACCAGCGACGCGACCCCAGTCAAGATGATTATGACTTTTGTGAGCTTGTTGCCCGTGCCACCACTCGACATTGCGTCCATGGTGCCTCGAGGCAGCAATGGAGGCGAACTGACGGCTGTTCTGCTACCTAGAGCTGGTGACGGGTATGGCCATTTTGACCTCGAGAAGCTCGACCAAGAGTGACGCCCATGAGGGTATGTGGAACTGCTCTTCAGCTTGGTGACATGTGCATAGGGTCAAGACATAGAGTCATGCAACACGATCAAGAGAATGGCAGATGATCTCTCTCAACGGCGTTTCTGCGGGGAAATTCTGTTCTGAGCGAACATTCATCATTGTCCCGTGTACATCGCGCATGTGCTCCCACCACTCATAGCAGCTGCGCATCCCGACGCTGTCCTGTTGCGTTCCTCATTGCTCAATTTCCTGGGCAGACGCGCTCCCTCCCTGCTGCCGTCGCAGAAGGATACAGAAATGCTACTCCATCGCAAGTGGCAGCCATGAGTGACTTGTCATGCGGAGGCCGGCGCGTGCACCATGTCGGATAATAGTGCCCTGGTCGGCGAGCCTATATCAAGGAATACTTCGTTCAACTGGTAAGCCTCCAGGAGGCACGGCTGGCACGACGCTCATGTACTGACTCTCGCTAGGACGTGGTTCGTGGAGCTTGCGACAGCTTCCTGCCTGACGCTCTTCTTCCTGTTCTACTTCAATCGAGTGTTCGCAACTCTCGTGTCCTACGGCATCAGGGCTTGGACGTGGCACAAATACAGAGCATGGATTGATATCCAGGCGCTCCAGTTGTCCTTTCTGGCCGGTCGGGTCTTCTTCAAGGGCGTTCGGTATCATGCGGAGAACGAGACGGTCTTGATTCAGAGTGGCTACATCACCTGGAGGTATTGGCAGTCGTCCTCGCGGCAAGTCGATCTGAGCGATCCGGATGAACATGAGCAAAATCCAACACAGACCGAGAAGAAGGCCTCAACCGTGGACAGGTCAGACGAGTCAGAACCACCGTTAACGGATCCTGAGTCGGGGCGAGTGAGAAAGAAAGACACCGCAGACGCTCGCATCTCGGTCTTCATCGCGGGCCTAGAGTGGTTTGTCTACAACCGTACACCTGTCTACGAGTCCATTGTGCAGGATGTGTTGATCCACGAGCTCAAGCATGGCAGCTCAGACTCTCAAACTGCTGGCCACCATCACGAGCACAAACCACCCAAGCTGCACCATCGCAAGGACGCAACAAGGCCTCACTCTAAAGATGCAGCCACTAGCGACGACTCCGCTGACAGTCCGCTTGGCGAAAAGAACGAGCAGCAGTCACCACTCGGCGAGTTCCCGGTGCCCATTGTCCGTGCCGATACTTTCACGAGTGTGGCCTCTGGGGTAGATGTGCCAACCGCAGATGTCCCGTCCTTCTACGGTTGGATCCTGCGTGTCCTTCCAGTTGCGGTCGAATGCTCGAAGGGCGCAATTTCCCTTGGGAACGAGACCACTCGAGCGCTGGTCGTGACGACCTTCGCGTCTGCCAAAGGCCATATTGATGCAGCTGCCGCTCGGCCCTCAGACTATTTCCGTCAAGTCTTCGATTTTGAAATCGAGAAACCAAAGGTCGAGATGAGGCCCAACCCTGACTTCCGTAGGTCTCAATTTGTGGCTGCTGAGAGGATCATATTGGCCGCTGAGTCCCTCAGGCATCGGCCGCGCTGGTGGCACGTCGACCTCGGCGTACGACGGCGCGTGGTTAAAACGTTCCACAGCATCAGGCGTCTCCTTCCAGGCAGCTCACGAGGCTCGTTACGTACTACCGCTTCGCAAGAAGACTATGACAGGAAGCAATATGCTTACGAGGAATTTCAAGACGACAACCGATCATGGCATGGTCTGGGTAGGTACATGGACGAGGATGAGCGCGACGACCACGAAGGCTGGTCACACATTGACTATGCAAGATTCTCCCAAATTCTAGACTGTCCTGGAGTTCACTTCAGATTCTTCTGGGACATGCCTGGGAAGGTAATGGAGGAACACGCCGAATCAGCAGCGCAAACAAATATTGACGACATCAACATGTCCAAGCCTCCAGCCTACGGTATGGATCTGATCGTCAAGGGAGGCTTCGTCAATTATGGGCCTTGGGCAGACCGTCTCCGCCTTGAAATACAGACAGCGTTCTTCCCGAACCCCTACCGAACCATGACACCAGCTGCTCGGGTCAAAACGGGAGAAGCTCGGCAGTATACAACGATGACAATACGTGTCCATCTCGAGGATGAAGTCAGTCTTCGCGTGCCGACGAGAGAACGATCAAAGGACTGGCAATGGAGAAATCGAGCACATGCTGTCCGCGAAGCAGCTGCAGCACGAAAGCAACGTGAGAAGAGGCATTTTCGATTCCGCCGCTCGACGAAAACGAAACTCGGACCAGATGTTCGCCCATTCGGCTGGCTGACTGTCTCTGCGGGACAAGACTCGACTGTGCGATATGATATGGACATGTTGCCACGAGCTGAAGGCTACATTAATCATCTGCATCTTGACCTCAAGAACACAAAGGCAACTTCCAGTGTTAACCACGCTCTTCTCTGGCGTTGCCCGTCGCAAAAAGTTTCCTGCGATCTGTCGAACCCTCTGATGTGGAACGGTCTCCATACCTGGACCTTTGATGTCGAGAGCAATGCTATGGAGATGTTCATCCTGAGGGACCACATGATCATGCTGACGGACCTCGTGAGCGACTTCACGGCTGGACAAAAACCTGACTACATGACATTTGTGCCTTTTATTTACCGGCTTCATCTCACGTTCCCAGAACTGAAGCTTTTCCTGAATGCAAATGACTACAATATCATTGACAGTCCGAACGATCTCGAGGAAAATGCGTTTTTGATCCTGGGGTTTCAAACGCTCGCCGGAGATGTGGACATACCCATACAGTACTTTTCGCCCCGTCAGAGCTCTGTTCAGTTCATTGGAGAGGGTCACAACGCGTCCTTGGAACTCATCACTCCTGTCTGGAACACGCTCAATACTTTGGCAGAGGATACGACCATGATGACTCTGAAGCAGCTGAACTTGGAAGGCTCGTACAACTACTACCCAAATGTATCTCCAAAACTAACGGACTCCCTATTCATGACTATTACGGGCTATGCCCCAAAGTTCTTTTTGCACGGTTATCTTATCCGCTACTTCATGAATGTCAAGGAGAACTACTTTGGGGAGGATCTTCACTTCAGAACACTCGAGGAGTATCAAGACATGTTGGCTGGAAATGAACCGCAAGGACCGCGACCGGGCATCAAGAAGGATAATGACCTCGACGTTATCCTGACAGTCCGTGCCGACAGTGCAGCCGTGTTGATGCCGGCCAACATTTACTCGCGCCGTGAAAACCTTCGGGTGGATATCCTGCTCGTGGAGGCAGATATGCGTTTCACTAACTACTACATGGACCTGCAAGTCAGCTCAAGTCCACTCGAGGCTTCGATTGAGTCAAGCTCACTGAAGGACAATCAGCCGTGCAGCGACATCACGAATTGTCAGCTGTTCATTGACGGAGTCGGTGTCTACGGCCATCGACTTTTCGGAGCTCCGCCGTTGGAGCCGACTTACGCCTGTCACTGGGATATCAATGTTGGTGAGGTGACGGGGGAATGCACGTCGAAATTTATCCAGACACTGATCAACGCTATCATGGCCTTCATTTACACATTGGACGACGATGAAAATTCACTGCCGCCTTTCAACAGGACCGCTGTACACGATGTAATATTTCTCAGAGCTAACATTGCCGGGCTCCGTGTCTGGCTTGTTGCAGGCGCTGTCGCCTACATGGTGGATCTATCGGAGACAGACGTCTCTTTCAGTGATTGGGCCAATTCCAACTTTGCCAAAAAGTTGAGGGCCAACGTACCCAAAATCGAAGTTGCGGCCGTGGACTACAAGTGCGCTCTACGACATCACGACCGCAAATCAGGCCCTGTAGAGACTTATGCTTGCTTCGAGACCTCTCTTCGGATTGGGACACTGGATAAAACGGATAACTTGGCCCACACACGAGCATTGCAGCAACAGCATATCCGCTATCACGATCAACGGACTCACCGAGCCAACTGGTTATTAGACACCCGAAAGCAATATCCCCCCAACCACAAGATACCTGAATGGGCCCGCGATCTCCCTGCTATGCCAGTACCTGCAATGCCGGAACCTGTGGGTACACCAGCGAATACAAGTTTTCCTGACCCGGTGGATAGATTTGGCCGCAAGCGCTCCAACCGCAAGAGCTCCTTTATATCAGTCCCTTCGCTTAGGAACTCTGGCGAGTCGTATGTACAGCGCCCATCACACCCGGACCCAAGTACTTTGCACCCTCCTTCCGAACGGTCCGCCGCAAACGAGAGACATTCTCTCGATCGTCTACATGGCCGAGATGGAGACACCCACCAAGCACTGGTTACTTTCTCCAGTCCATGGACGCCACCTCATTTCACACTGCTGGACGTCCAACCCGAAAAAACACACATGCCACAGTTGCCAGATCCACGACGGAGTGATTTTGCGTCCTTAACGGCGCAGGATAGCGAGGATCCTGAGACCAAAAGCGACGAGTTCGAGGGCACGCCGCACAACGGTGTTATCGCCATGGTGCAAAATGGCCTGACCGGATTTTGTTCCCCAGCACTGTTTCTCTCGATAGGACAGACAATTAGGGAACTCATTGCCGACCATCCTATCGACCAGCTGGACAAGATGCAGATTACAGTAATGAAGCGTATACTCGAGACTCACAAGCATGACGATCAGGGCCACGTTATGGACTTCGCTGTACAAGTGCCGTTTGCACATATCAAGTTGGTCAACACTCTGACGAAAGACGGTGGTTTCCCTTCATCGAATGATCAGTACGATGTGAAGCTCACAGGCTCACAGATGATGTACCGCCTTTTGCATCCCAAAACCGCCCGACCAGGGATTACTAGCCCTCATAACCAGCTCGCGTATGGATCTATTCAGAACCTCTCAGTCTCTGTCAGAGATGATGCTTTGGCCTCTGGACGACCGTCTGCTCATGCGGCTGTGTCGCTTGCAAGAGTGGGATTTTGGTTCTCTATGAAAGAAGAAGTCAATTCAAAACTGCAGTTAAGCAATTTCGACGTCGTGTTGTGGGCGGAACAGCTGAACAGCATGGCGGCTCTGATTCAAAGGACTGTGGCCATGGTCGATCATATCATCGGTGCCTTCGACGGCCTCGATCAAAGCTTCAAGTCAAGACATCTGATCTCCCATTTGACTCAAGCAGGCAGTGCGATCGCAGATCCCGTATTTCTGACCAGGCCATCCTACGTGCTGCGAAGCGCTGACAAGCACGTTCGCCTGAGCGACTCGTGGAAGATCATTTCTCGTCTCAGGCACATCTTTGCTACCATAGAGAAAGACAAGGGCAGAGAGTTTGTCGAGAAATGTGGCTGCCCAGATCTTGAGTTGAAAGACCTGGACAAGCGTCAAGTGCTGTCTTCATTCGAACAGTGGCGAGGATGGGACCACGCCCGTGATAAGGTGCCGATCATGATCACCTTATTCGAAACCCCCGGGAGGCGAACACCTGAAGCTTCACTCAATAGTCTCGTTGTACATTCCGAGATTATAGTTGGGAAGCTAGAAGTCATCTTGGATCCAGGTCCGCGGCAGAGCGATTTTGCCGTCCTAGGTCTCGACTTCAACATCATCTTGCGGCGAGGACAAGCCTCTGGTATTGACGGCAACGGGCAGAGGGTCATCCTTCAAGCGTACACTGCAGACACATCGCTTCACCTCAACTGGGCACTTGTGGAACTGGCTCGTCAGTTGATCGAGCTGGTCAACCCTCCCGCTCAAAGACCTCCCAGAAACGATGCGCTCGTTGCACATAGTAAAGAGCCTTTGAGTGCGACAAGAAACCACTTTACTGTCGTGGTAGGAACTGATGCAGCGTCCATCCACCTCACCACCATCAACCTCAAACTCAAGTGGGCGGCTGAAAGCTTTCGAAGTGCGTTTTCTTTCTCCGAAGGCAGCTCTGGGCCAACAGTCTCCTCCTTTACTATCGCTGCAAACACTGCAATGGCCAAATTCAGAGGCCCGACGCGTACTTTGATGTTGTGGCGCATCCGCATGCCAAAGCTGTACGGCTCAATCTGGCCACAAGGGCAGAGTCAGTCTGCGAAACAGAAGATGATTGTGCAGGTCTGCGCCGCTTCGAACAGACTCAGGTTTCAAATGAAAGAAGAACTTGTGAAGGTGCTTCTGGTCGCGGACTCAATCGTTCGGGACGAAGTTGCTACGATCATTCGCCTTGTCGATGAAATTCCAAAGAGCCAAAATGATCATGAAAAGGTGACTTTGACTAATCAACCAAGCCTGGACTTGAACGTTGACCTTCGAGTTGCCATGTTTTTGGACGACTACCGGTTGAATTTTGCCATCCTTCCATCACTGCAGTACGCAATTACAGGGAACGCAGCAAGAACAAGCATTATTCCTCGTCGAGATGGGGGCCTCGATATCAATCTTGACATCAAGGAGCATGAGCACTTGTTCGAGGTATCCCAGGGCAGTTCTATGGATAACTTGCCTCTTCTGACGATGCCACCGATCAATGGTCATATTTCTGTGGTACCGGCGGCTTCTTTGATATCCATACGGGCTCGTATGACTGTGGAGCAAATCAATCTCGAGGCATCCGGAGTACGGGCTTGCTTCGATGCATTGAACCAACCTGGCGTCGTCCAGTTGATACCCGATGCCAAACATGCCATCCAGCAGATTCAAAGCTCAGCTGATCGCGCGCTAGGAACGAGATCGCAGCCCAGCAAGGTAAAGAAAGAAGACGCAGCTCTGCTACTTCGCTACGCGATACATGGCACACTTGCAGGTATCAAGATTCACTTCAGCGCTCCCTCAATCCGAGAGGACCAGGACTACCGGGCAGATATGGAACTTAAGCTTCGAGGCACGACCTTATTCATGCACAACGAGATGGACAACCCAGCCTCAATCCAGGAGCGCCCACAATTCACCCTCAGTACTCAAAGCCTCGGTCTAGGTCTTTATCGCAGTACGAGTCATGCTCGAGAAAGTTTCGGGACGTTCTCTGTGGGCATGAAGGCCTCAGGCAAAACAGAGACTCTTGGAAATGCGGGTAAAGTCCAGGTCTACAGAGCCTGCAGTGACGGGTTGATCGTTGAGCTATACGAGGAGACCGCAACGCTAGCCGTCGATATCATTGCCTTCCTGCAGGACCGCATCAAATCGATGAAACTGGCCGACCGTGAAGGTAATATTCAACACATCCGGAGGTTGACGACCGCCGGTCTGACAGACCGCCTGAAGCCGAAGGAACAGCTGTCCGAGACGGGCAGTGATGCTGGCCAGAGTATCGACGGCTCTTCCACTGTATTGTATGACTCGACCTACGCCCTTGACCTCGGAAATATTATGTTGCGCTGGAATTTAACCAGTGGCTCTCGGCTCTCATCTAGCCACGAGACGGAAGATCTGGTGTTTTCTATACGCAAAGTTGACCTGAAGACACGGCAGGAAGGCACTGCTCGTCTTGCAATCTCGGATACGCAACTGCAGATGGTTCCCAAGTCCCAGGAGGGGAGTCCTATTACTCGCACGGCTAACTCTGCGCTACTGCCAGAGGTGGTCTTCGGCACTGGCTATCTCTCAACAAAGCATGAGCGAAGAATTGCATTCCAGGCGAAAGGCAAAGCTCTCGATCTTCGACTGGCATCCGACTTCATTATTCCTGGCCACGCCCTGCAAAAGTCGTTCGGTAACGCCAGCGGAGAGTTGCGTAATGCCAGAGCAATCTACGAGACAGGCCCAGCGACTCCTCAGGCTGCGCCAATTGATCTTCTAGGTGGAAAACGCCTGGCTTCGCTCCTGGTCGATGCGGATTTCGCTGGTGCCGTCGTTCATATCAGTCCTCGCGCTGAAGCTGAAAACAAAAGTTCAGCTTTCGGATTTCTGAAAGGTCCCAAACGCTCTCGTGCTGGCCGATATGGTCAAGCAGTCCAAGGGGAAGATGTTTCTTCCGCAGTACTTCAGGCTCCTGGCGTTGCCCTGAAAGTCGAATACAAAGACGACAACAAAGGAGATCCGTCGCTCAGCACTGAAGTAAGGGTTGCAGCCTCCTCGAACACACTATATCCCACGGTTGTACCTTTGATCTTAGAGATATCAGCCAGCGTCAAGGAAATTCTAGGTGACGATCAGGTGAACAATGCCGGTTCGCCTGCACCGACAGAGTCACGCAGCTACTTGTCAGACGCGGCCCTTAGCAACTCGAATCCGGATGCCATCTTCGGCCGCTGCAAGTTGAATGCAGGCCTATACATCCAACCGCAGGAGTTCAGCCTGAGCTGTCAACCCATTGCAAGAGTGGCAGCCACTGCCAAATTTGCCGACATCTTTGTTAGGGTCAATACCGTGTCGGCCCCTGATCAGGAGCGTTTCTTTGCCATTCTCACGACATTCAACAAACTCGAAGCTTCAGTCCAGCATGTGTACTCTCGAGAATCGACCGCAAGCTTCGAGGTTGATTCTATCGTCATGTCACTGATGAATAGCAGACATGTAAGTGCCACAACAGGCATTTCCGCGATCCTCAACATCAGCCCAATGAAGACGGACATCAATGCAAAACAGCTACAGGACTTCCTTCTGTTCCGGGAGATCTGGTATCCTCCAGAGCTACGAGGTCGAGCAAAACCCTCGACAGCTGCCGCCTCTCCGCTCGATCAACAGGCATATGCGATGCAGCGCTATCAGGAGCTCTCTGGGAAGGGTACGCTGCCATGGCACGCCATAGTGTCTGTGCAGGAGCTGCAACTCGTGGTTGATCTGGGACAGGGTCTCGGCAAATCCGTCTTCACAGTCTCCAAACTCTGGGCCTCTTCGAGGAAGAACAGTGACTCTGAGCAGAACCTGTGCATTGGATTTGACAGAGTCGGTATCGATAGCACCGGCCGTATGAGTGGCTTTGTTGAGCTGGAGAACATGCGCCTCCGAACGTCCATTCACTGGCCTGAAGACGCAGCAGCCAAGGCTCGTGCTCCGTTGGTCCAAGCATCGATCGGTTTCGAGCATTTCCGTGTCAAGGCAGCTTTCGATTATCAACCATTCGCCGTTGCGGACATTTCATTCTTCGACTTCCTCATGTACAATGTCCGGCAAGGGCACAAGCACGAGAGCGACCGGCTGGTCGGCATCGTCAACGGAGGCAAGGTTCAGGTGTTCTGCACCACCGGCACGGCAGCCCAAGGTCTCGCTCTCGTGCAGGCATTCGAGAGACTGGTCCAAGAGAAACAGGAAGCATACAAGACTTCACTCCGAGATTTGGATAAGTTCCTGCGGAGGAAATCAATGTTCCCGTCCAACAGTTGGACTGCGGCCGTTCCTGCTCGGCAGCAAAAGGAGGACGGACCGAACAAGAAGGGAACGTTCACCCTGCATACGGATGTGATCGTCACTCTTGGGGGCTTGGACGCCGGTGTCTTCCCGAACACGTTCTTCGACAACCAGATCCTCAAAGTCGAAGCCACTGACGTCCAAGCTCGCTTTGCCGTTGCCACCACAGAGGGCAAAACGCACAGCTGCTTAGGCATGAGCCTTGGCCAGCTCCGGGTCGCTCTCTCCAATGTCAACCGAGCCACCACCAAAGCCCTCAGCGAAGTCTCGGTGCCAGACGTTGTCGACCGCGCCACCAGCTCCCGGGGCGGCACGATCGTGAAAGTGCCTCGCCTCGTCTCCTCGATGCAGACGTGGCAAGTCGCAGATTCGAACGTGATTGAATATACCTTCCGCAGCACGTTTGAAGGCAAAGTCGACGTTGGCTGGAACTACGCCCGCATTTCCTTCATCCGCGGCATGTGGCAGACTCATTCGCGCGCCCTCGCTCAACGGCTCGGCAAACCGCTGCCACCCTCAGCTATCAAAGTCACCGCCGAGCCCCCGGCGGCTTCGTCTTCGGCCGGCGGCAGCGACGCAGGTGGCACTGGAGGCGAGAAAATCACGGCCGTGGTCAACGTGCCTCAGAGCAAGTTCACGTATGTCGCGCTCCAGCCCCCAATCATTGACACGCCGCAACTGAGAGATATGGGCGAGGCGACACCCCCGTTGGAGTGGATCGGACTGCACAGGGATAAATTGCCGGAGGCGACGCACAGCATTGCCATTGTCTCGCTGTTGGAGGTCGCGAGAGAGGTGGAGGATGCTTATACGAGGATTTTGGGTGCCAGTTAGGAAAGTCTTCTTTTTACCATAGCGAGTTAGGAAGTGCTTTTTTTTCTCTTCTAGCATAGCGCTGGAGTCGTGGGTGGCTGACCTCGGCGTTCATTGCTCAACAGGGGAAATAAAAAACAATATGATACTAAGCAGCTGTTTTTACATGGATGATTTTTCTTTCTATCTCCCCTCTTCTTCACAGCCTGCTCGCCTGCTTCTTGAAGCCCTTGACCAACTGGCGAATCGACAGATCTAACATGACATCCTCGCTGCCACCGGGGATCCTGGCACCCATGACGTCGCGGTAGATCTTCTCCACCAGCTCGCCCTGGCCGGTGCGCGTGTATCCGTTGCCTCCGAAGACCAAGACGGCCGTCTCGGCGCAGTCCCGGAAGACCATGCCGGCTTTGGCCTTGAGCGCGGCCGTGGGCCCGCCCAGGCTCTCGTCGGCCTCGGCTTTTGTCATGTTGTTGAGCTGGTACACGAACTCGTACACCCAGGCCTGCAGGCTCTCGAGGTCGGCGCCGCACTTGGCCAGGCGGTGGCGCACGACGGGCTGGTCCATCAGCGTCTTGCCGAAGGCCTCGCGCTTCATGGCGTACTCGACGGCCGTGGACAGGGCGACGCGGGCCTGGCGCGTCACGCCCATGGCGATGAGCAGGCGCTCGTGGTTGAAGTTGGTCATGATGTACTTCATGCCCTGGCCCTCCTGGCCGACCAGGTTCTCCACGGGCACGCGCGCGTCGTCCAGCTCGATGTACGTCGTCCCGCCGGCCTGCTGGCCGCTGACTTGCAGCCGCCGCATCGTCACTCCCGGGTGGTTCTTGAGCGGGACCACGAGGAGACTGATGCCACTGGGGCCCGGCCCGCCGGTCCGCACCGCCATGGTCGCGTAGTCGGACCAGATGCCGTTGGTGATCCATTTCTTGGTGCCGTTGACGAGGTAGTGGCGCTTGTCTGCGGTCTTGGTGGCTTTGGTTTGGATGTTCGCCACGTCGGACCCGGCGTGCGGTTCGGTGATGGCGATGCAGGCGCGCACTTGGCCCGTGAGCATTGCCGGGAGGAATTTCTCCTGTAGGGCCGGGGACCCGAAGCTGAGGATCGGGGGAATGCCGTACGCGAAGCCGGGCGAGAGGCTGGAGCCGGGGCCGGATATGCCTGTGTAGGGAGGAGGACAGATGAGTGAGCGCGGGAGTCAAGGAGTTTACATTACGATGCCACTCGACGTAACTCGGTGTAGTAAAATGCAAGGTGATGGGCAAGGTCAATCACAAACCTGTCCTCGCCCGTTCGTCCACCCAGATGGCCGTGTGTAGATAGTCCCACTGCTCGACGGGGACGCCAAGGATGTCGTTGATGCCCAGCCTCTTCAGCCAGTCCACCGGCAAGGGGGACTTCAAGTTCGGAATCAGCATGTTGTGCTTGTTGAACGTGTGCCACACGTGCTCGGGCACGGTGCCTTGGGTTTCCCACTCGAGGGCGTACGGGATGAAGTGCTCGTTCATGAAGGCGCGACATCGCTTTTGGAAGTCCAGGTGCGTCTGGCGGAAGTACGGCGACGGGAGGCCCCTGAGGTAGGCCGGCTCAGCGAAGGGGACGGCATTGATGGCGGTAGACATGGCTGATGGTCCTGGGAGTTGAGCCTGGATGTTGTGAGTGGTCCTAGGTGGTTTGAAGGGTTCCTTTGACGGCATAGCAAGGTGCGAGGACGGGCGCTTCAAGACATACTGAGGTCGAAGTTGCGATGCCGAGGCAGGATGCCGGCTATGCACTGGACCAGTCCGACGGTACTACCCATCGCGCGTGAGGGCAGACAGTTTCCGGCCAAAGGATCTGGCCGTCACATAGGAGCTTTTGATACCGATTTCAGAAAGCGCGTTGTCAAGGCGAGACCAAGAGATGTGTTCCCAACGACGACAGATGCCTACAATACGCACGACGGTGACATGGTACAGCGCCATAACTCCACTGGAGATATAGCCGCTGAGGCCGAATGAGCAGCTCGCATCTGGCGACATTCACCTTACAGAGATGCAATTGACTAGCGGTCAGGACATTCTTCGTCTCAAGCATTCTCGGCCAAAGAATGACGGTGGCGTCCTTCTGAATATCTGGTTTCCTCCCTGCGTTTCTCGATCGCGTTCTGCCCGATCAGCCATTGTACTCGGCCGTATATCGCTTCGCTTCCCTCTCGCGTACTCAGCCGTGCTCGAGGTCTCCCACGTTTACATGCCACGGGCTGTTCAGCACCACGTCAAGCTAGGGCGTGAATTGATTTCTATTCCCGAGTGTGACGGCTTTGATGATGCGGTCGATTCACATACATATGCTGTAGCCGCTATCATGCCGATATAATCAAGGCATTGCTACCAGAGTACCTTCACTTGCCACTACAATAATGGCTCTTACGCACGTCAGACGCCAGTATTCCAAGATACATCCCATTCGGCATGTATTTTTGCATGCTACCACTCTGCGTTCTGACTGATGCTTATGGAATGCTACGCAACATAGCCGATGCTACATATACGATGCTATTATGCTTTAAGCTTCTGCCATCTAGGGGCGAATGTCCTCCGTCTCCCCTTCCTGGGAGTTCAGCCGTCCGAACGGTTGAAAGAATGCAATCACATCTATTTGTCCTAATCGCCTACAACAAAGTAGCCTGGGTAATCTTCGCTGCAGACACCGTACGCCTCCAAGCCTAGAATGCCACCGAGAAGCCTAGCCTTCAACTCCATCCTCCCTACACGTTGTGCGCGAGAATGCCAATTCTCCGAAACCCTCTTTGCAAGCCTCAAATCAGTGGCTTCCTGTTCCGTCAGATGTGGCAGATAAGCAGCCAGAGCACAAAAACCTCCTCTAGCTTCCCTTCGAAAGTGGACATGGCGTCCTATCACACCTTTTCCTGACTAACCGCTTTGACCTCCTCATCCTCGTCATGAAATGCAAACTTGGAGAACTTCCTGATCCTTGCACCATAAAAATAGAAAACATAAGGGATGGCACAGCACGCCAATGCCAGGAACGCCAGGAGGGAACTTGCCCACTGGTATCCCAACGTGTGATACATCTGCTCGGTGAAGAGCACCACACTAGCGCCCCAGAACGACCTGATGCACGTCTTCGCAGCGAGTGCCGACGCGGCTTGATGTTGATAAGTGTCGACGAGATAGTTGTTGGCCGAGTTGTAGAGGAATATGAAACCGAAGCCAACCGGAAAGCCACCCATCATAGGCCCCCAATAGCTAAGATGCGGGTAACTTGTCCAGCCGAAGACGAACAAACCGACGGGGATGAGCCAGCAGGAGAACATCATTGGGATGAGGCGGGCTTCGGCCGGCGGCTTTCCATTCGGAGCTTTATGGCACAGGGAGATGTAGTGCTTGTTAACAAGGGGTGAAAACAAGGCTGACAGGACCACGCCAATAGCCAAGGGGATGAACATCAGGCCAGTGATGCCCTCTGAGTAGCCCTTTCCCTCAACGTAGACGATCGGGTAGGCGACGAAGAACATGTACAGAAGACCGTACAGGACAGCCATGTACAAGCTGATGAGCAGAACGATCGGTTCCAGACATAACAGCTGAAGAGGACGAACCAGGAATCTGCGGATCTGTTCGCTCATTGGGCGCGGGTCGAGGTCCTTTTCCGTCACGTATTTGGCATCACCAGTTTCCCTGCGCAGTTTCTTCGCCCGTTTGTCGAGAATAACGGGGGCGTACGTCTCGGGAATGGTGAACGTGAGAATAATCCAGCAGATTCCCGACATGATCAGCTGAATCCAGTAGAGCCAGCGCCAACCAGAGGCGTCGCCGAGAAAGCCTCCTACAAGCGGTCCAACCGCTGGACCGGCGAAGGGCGCGGCCGAGAACACTGCCATCGGTACCCCCCTTTCCTCATTTTTCCACAAATCGGCGAGCGTGCCGCCGACAAGGGTCATAGGGGCCGAGAAAGCGATGCCATCAATGAGACGGCACACCAATAGTGTGCCGATGTTCTGGGCGACCGCGCAGGGTATTTCGAAGATCACTGCAAGGGCGATCGTGATTACATAGATAGGTTTTCTCCCCAGGAGTTCTGACGCTGGTGCGAACACGAGCGGACCCACGCCGAAGCCGATGACGAACATTGTAACGGTCAGCAGGGAGACTTCTGGCGAGACATGAAATTCTTCAGAGACGCCTTCAAGGTCGGCCGTAATCACAGCGCTGTTGAACGCCACGGTGAAGCAGGTAAAAGCGACAACCATTGTACACCACCATTCTAGATGCCGTGTTAGCAACAACAATCAAGGTGAGTATCGGAGGAGGAAGCATACTGTAAGGCTTTGACCAATTCTTCGGGTTCTCAGGGTCATTGATCTTAAATGTAACCAGCTCATGATCCTCCGGCTTGCCAGTTGCTCTTGATATGGTTCTCTTTGGGATGACACCCGCTGCAGTCTCTTGGATATACTCCGACATATCTGCCTCGTCGCTGAGGATGTCGTATGGAAGGTCCAGCACGTCCGAGGCATCTTGTGTAGGCCTGGTCTCATATTTTTCGAGCGTGCGACGCGTAGATGCTCGTGTGAGACGGGACTCTGCCTTGTCGACGCTGTTGCGAGCAATGCTGCTCTGAGAAGTGGCAGTGGGGGTCGTGGTTAGCGAAGACATGTGATTCATGTCGGGGATGTTCATTGAGAGCCGCTAGGTTGATAGCAATAAAAGGAAAATAGTTCTGAGCAACAAGGAAACAGCAAGTACCTTTGAAACTGACTGGATGTTGACATGCGAGAAAGCATCATGAACAACCGGGAGGACGGGCGTTAAATACCATGAGATCTAGGAGCTCGGCCTTTATGTTGTAGACCTGATCTGGAAATGTCGGCAGCCAACAAGGTCATCCTCTACTGGATCATCTGTACGCCGACGAATATTTGGCATCAAACGTGCACCGCCATTAGTCGTTCATGCAGGTATCTTGATGTCCATGATCTCTGCTCGGCCGTGTACAAGCGCGAGCGGCAGCCAGATACGGACGATGTGGGCCAAGGTGCGGAATGCTAGAGCACTTGGTGACTGTGCTGCCAATAAGACTGTAAGTTTGTTAAGCTTAAAGTAGAGCAAATGGAAAGTCGGCACAGACATTGATTGAGTTAACAGCGAGGCGAGATCGATGAGGCAGCGTAGGACTGGATCAAAGAGATCAGAGGTACCGTTGTGAACAGCCGTGCGGCTTGACTGGAACCTCGGCAATGACCGAGAGTCCGCCGAAGTCAGGGGTTTGAAGGGCTTGGCTTGTTTGAGGGAATATGCGATGGCCACTCGTTGGTGGCCTTGCCGTTGTGTACGAGGCTGCGCGGTGCATGACGGACGTCACAGGTAGCTGAGTAAGTCAGTCGCAGATGGTGGCCACGTTCAGGCGCTGGATTGCGTGTACCGTGCCAGATCTGGTGTCCCTGGAATCAACTGTGAGTGGCAAAACTCTACATCACGTTTCAGGAGGGCGGCGGACAGTATAACAGAAGCCAAAACCCAAGTTGTCGAAGAAGTTACGAGCGCGTCACGGCTCTGCTGATATCGCGCAAAAATATTTCCTTGGAGGACGAGGGAAACTCGAGAAAAGAAATTCTGGCGGACGCTTGCGATGCGGTCACCAGCGGTGTCAATGAATGACGTCACACCTTTCTGCTTTTCCGGTTAGCCCCGCGTGTACTCGTACCACGTGTTGCGCGATATGACTAAGGCATGACCACAACCGTCTTCAGCTCGCAACAGCAGGCCGCGATAGATCTTGTATTTGATGCCCTTGAAGACACTCTGATGGTTTTGGGTTGACAAGTACATAGCGCATATCTGTAGTCGCAACTCAATTCGTACGCTCACCATGTCAGACTACTACAACCCCAATCAGTATCCTCCCCCACCAGGGGCCGGCCATACCCAGTATCCGCCTCCTCCAAGACCTCAGGGTTATAACTCCCCAGGTCCACAAGTAAGGCATTCTTTCAAGCGCTGCAGCGCTATCAGACACTGGCTGACCATCCATCAGTCCTCCTATGGGGAGTACCAGCCCGCACGTGAGGATCAGTATCGGTATTCACCAAGGTCATCGGCGATGCAAGTAGGCCAGTATGGCGGCGAGTCCGGATATAGTCGGGAGCGTCGCAACTCGGGCCCATATGCTGCTAGTCAGTACCGCGAAACCGAGGCCAACTCCTACTATGCTCCTCCCCCGCGAGAATATGATGACCAGTATTACGACCGGCCCAGCTCGCGAGGCTCGCGCAGGGAAAGAGAAAGAGAACGGGAGCGATCGAGAGACCGAGGGGAGAAACATCATGGGGAGCATCATGCTGAGAAGGCTGTAGGCGCGACTCTGCTCGGTGGTGCTGTGGGTGGATGTAAGTGACTAATGCCTTGGCCTTCGTCTCGTACTGACAGGAACAGGGGCTGGCCATGAATTTGGCCACAGCAACAACCTGATCACCGTCGCTTCGGCATTGGCCGGGGCCTATGCCGGCCACAAGCTCGAATCAAAACATGAAAAGGACAAACAAAAGAAGAAGGGACGTCGGGAAAGCGGGGCTTACGATGACGAAGATTATGGCAGCCGTCGGAGTCGCTCCATCTCGCGGTCTCGGAAGAGGTCTGGGAGCAGGCGGAGAAGCAAAAGCAGCAGCAGCAGCGATGAGAGCGATAGCAGCAGGCGGAGACACCGTCACCATCGCGACTAGAAAGAACTGTATTCTTTTGCTGTGAGTCCAGGTTCATGGAGGTGGAGGCCTTTCGACGAGGGGTATCACATAACCCTTGAAGATTTGACGCAGCCCCATTGCAATAATGATGAGATAATGGCAACGAACTGTTCGCACTGGTACTGAAAGCAGCGTGGCCTCTTCGCGGCACAATATAACAAGCTTCTGCATGCATCAATCGGCCCCGAAGGGAAGCATCCGTGAAGCGTCACCCCTGCGCAATCTGGGGAAATAGAGTGTGGCGAACCCGGGCGACTTGCAGAACAGTGTGCCACATCATGCATATCTCCATCGTCCGCGGGTATTTCTTCGCGAGGAGTCGTAATAGACTGCACACTCTTGGGAAGAGGCTGACAGCAGTGTCTGCTGGGAAGCCAAGCGGTGGGTGAACTGTACCTATGGGAGATTGGTAAAGAGTCCATGTCCCTACGGGAAGAATCATCTCCCCCTCGTAGCACAAGGCTGTGATGCGTTTGATTATTGTGGCTTCTGGGAGAAGTGAGCAAGCGGGTAGTAATTACATAGACCTGAACAGATCACTCAGAGTCGCCAAGTTTTGACGAGAGAAAATATTCTTCGGGTTTTCTAGCCCCGAGAGATGCCCGCTAACAGACCCTGACCTGCGCCTGCATCCGCCAATCGCCAGCGCTCTAAAAGAAACGTTTTGCTGATGGCTTGGTCACATTTCTCATGGCAGATTGGGTTCGTGAGTTGGCCAGCATTACCAATCATGGAGACTTGCACATCCATTCCTTCGGTCACCAATGGTTCTCCCGTTGTTCGGGGGAGCTGGAGTGTGGCCTGGGGACATGCGGGCAATAGCAATCCTGCTTATCACTTAGCGAGCCGCCTATCGATACGGGCGCGTCGTTTCGATATGAGATAAGCCTGAGGCATCCCACAACCCCTCCAAAGTGCGAGAATTCTAGACTTGTCCTCCGTACCGTGATCGCTGCCTGTCGCCGCTGGAAATTTGGTTGGAGGTGAGAGTGTGGCACTTTGTCACTGGAAGGCAGCTTTCCAATCACCAAGGCGTAGATTGTGTAAGGGACGAAGTCTGTGCATGCTTATGAGGTACAATTTGATGGTCAAGTCGACCTCAGGCTGTGGGAGGAACTTTACCCCAGGGGCTGCGTCTGACGTGGTAGGCGCAAATCAGCCCTGACGAGTGGCTGATTCGGGTATGAACCCCTGCTCGGGGTGCAACAGTCACGAAATGATACGGGAAGGCCAGTGTCTGAGATCCAGGGCTGAGTGGCGACAAAAATAGGTCCTTCGAGAAGCATCAAACAGGGTCCTGCTGTTGCCCCCAGCGTGGCCCCTTCACCTTCGAAATATTGGACGAGGGTCGAGACAGTTCTCTGGCAGCATTGCTGGTTGAACGATCGGCAAAAATCCCAGCCAGGTCGTTCGCTCGAGCAGGCCTGGCTTTGGCATCGAGGACTTTAGTTACAGTGACTACGTTTTTAATCCGCTCGGCCAGCGCGGCCGGGGCTAGGAGATGGCGGTCAAAGTGAGAAGACAAAGGAGCGTTTTGATGGGATGGATATCGATCAAATGGATGCGGAATGGGGCAATGTGCCGGATCTGAGTGGACGAAACGGCCTGGGGACCGGCACTACCCAATAGGTAGCGGAAAAAAAATTTATGATGGCGAGGAGAGACTGTCTGATTAAATAGCCTGCAGCCTTCCTGCTCACCCTCTCCTTCTCTTACTATCTCTCTTTGACCTCTAAACTCCCCCCTCTTGCATTTCTCTCTCACAGAGTCTGCACACTCCTTCTTGTTCCTACCGAATAGACGCCGCATAGAGCGAGACCGGCGTGAAAACGCTGTCTGCGTGGGCGCCCCTTTGAGCCGACTTAGACCGCCTTTTTCCACATTCCTGAAATTTTCCACACACAAAACACTCAGCTACGACTCCCTGATCCTAGTCGAACCTCCGAGCCTCCGTCACGAAATGCCCGCGGTCGACACCATGACTTCCACTCCAGCCACCTCCGCAAAAGAGACAAAGCAGTCACTCGCTGATCTCGAGGGATTATTGCAGAAATTGTCAGTCTCAAAATCCCAAGATGAGGCCAACGAATCCGCAGGCAATGTCGCCACATTCTTGAACGGCCCCATCGAGGAGCACGATGTGCCTCTCAAGACTGTCGAAATCTTCAAGAAGCAACTTGCCAACAAGAAAGATGCCGTGGTTCGGGAGCGCGCCCTCGACGGAATTCGAGCGATTGCAGCCCACGGCACTATTGCCCCCGGCGTCGAGCCATACCTCGTTTCCCTACTACCACTCTCGCTCGCCGCTGTTGGCGACAAGATGGTATCGGTCAAGAACGCTGCGCAGGCCGCAGCTCTTGCCATCGTCCGACAGATCAACCCCAACTCCGTCAAGGTCGTGCTCCCTCACATCCGAAATTCCATCATCACCGCACAAAAATGGCCTGAGAAGATGACCGGCCTCGACTGCATCGAGGCTCTTGTTGAGACCGCCCCGACGCAGCTCTCTTTCCTTGTTCCTACCCTCATCCCGATCGTTTCCGAGTCGATGTGGGATACCAAGCCTGAAGTCAAGAAGAAGGCTTACGGCACAATGGAGAAGATCTGCAAATTGATCGAAAACAAGGATATCGAGAAGTTCATTCCCGAGCTGATCAAGTGTATTGCTAAGCCCGAGAACGTCCCTGAGACCGTGCACTTGCTTGGTGCCACCACTTTCGTCACTGATGTGCACGAGCCGACTCTGGCCATCATGGTTCCTCTTCTGGAACGTGGTTTGGCTGAGCGTGACACCGCCATCAAGCGAAAGTCCGCAGTCATCGTCGACAACATGTGCAAGCTTGTCGAGGATCCCCAGATCGTCGCAGCCTTCCTGCCGAAGCTGATGCCTGCGCTCACAAAGAATTATGAAAATATGGCCGACCCTGAGGCTCGTGAGAAGACCAAGCAGGGTCTGGACACTCTGAAGCGTGTTGGTGCGGTCAAGGAGGATGGCTCCTTCCCCAAGATCTCCAATGCTGGTGAAATTGCTACCGTCAAGCCCATTCTCAAGGAAATTATTGCACAGAAGCACAAGGGTGCAGTTGAGAAAGCCGACACTGTCATCGACTACGTTTCTGCCATTGCAGGTCAGTTGATCGACGAGAAGATCTCCGATGAGCCCGACTGGGTCTCCAACACTGTCGAATATCTCAAAACCATCGTTGGTGAGGCCGATGCCAAGTCGGTCGCTGAGACGCTTCGCAAACGCGCGTCTCCCAATGTCGAAGACGAGCCTGAGGCCGAGCCTGATGAAGAAGAAGGCGAGGATCTCTGCAACTGCACATTCAATCTGGCCTACGGTGCTAAGATTCTGCTGAACCAAACCACTCTCCGCCTCAAGCGCGGTCAGCGCTATGGTCTTCTCGGACCCAACGGTTCCGGCAAATCCACCCTTATGCGGGCCATCAACAACGAACAAGTCGAGGGTTTCCCGAAGCAATCCGAAGTCAAGACTGTCTTCGTTGAGCACGATCTTGATGCTGCTGATACCGAGCTCACCGTCATCGGCTGGACCGAGATGAAGCTCAGGTCCGTCGGTATCGAAACCCCGGTCGAGGATATTAAGGCCAAGCTGCTCGAATTCGGCTTCCTCGAATCCCAGATGGATGGTCCCATCACCTCCCTCTCCGGTGGCTGGAAGATGAAGTTGGCCCTTGCTCGTGCCGTGTTTGAGAACCCTGATATTCTCCTCCTGGACGAACCCACAAACCACTTGGACGTCAAGAACGTGGCCTGGCTCGAAAACTACCTCACCAACTCACCTTGCACCTCCATTATCGTTTCTCACGACTCCAAATTCTTGAACAACGTCATCCAGCACGTCATCCACTATGAACGCTTCAAGCTTCGAAGATACCGTGGTAACCTGACTGAGTTCGCAAAGAGAGTGCCATCCGCTCGCTCCTACTTCGAGCTTGGTGCGTCTGAGCTGTCGTTCAAGTTCCCCGAGCCTGGTTTCCTGGAAGGTGTCAAGACCAAGGCCAAGGCCATTGTCCGTGTCAACAAGATGTCGTTCCAGTATCCAGGTACCGACAAGCCCCAAATCCAGGATATCACGTTCCAGGTATCACTTGGTTCTCGTATCGCTGTGATCGGACCGAACGGAGCCGGCAAGTCTACTCTCGTCAACGTTCTCACTGGTGAGCTGATCCCCACCACTGGTGAGATTTACCAGCATGAGAACATCCGTATCGCCTACATCAAGCAACACGCCTTTGCCCACATCGATAACTTCCTGGACAAGACCCCCTCTGAATACATCCAGTGGCGGTTCCAGACAGGTGAGGATCGTGAGACCATGGATCGGGCCAACAAAATCGTCACCGAAGACGATGAGAAAGCCATGGACAAGATCTACAAGATTGAGGGTACCCAACGACGTGTCATTGGAATCCACGCCCGTAGGAAGTTCAAGAACTCCTACGAGTATGAGTGCTCGTTCGCTCTCGGTGAGAACGTCGGCCAGAAGAACGAGAAGTGGACTCCCATGATGACCGCCGACAATGCATGGATTCCCCGCTCCGAGATTCTGGCGTCCCACCAGAAGATGGTCGCTGAAGTTGACCAGAAAGAGGCTCTTGCTAGCGGTCAATTCCGTCCTCTTATCCGGAAGGAGATTGAAGCACACGGCGCCAACTTCGGTCTTGACGCTGAGCTGATCTCTCATTCTCGCATGCGAGGTCTTTCTGGCGGCCAGCGTGTCAAGGTTGTGCTCGCTGCCTGCACCTGGCAGCGCCCTCACTTGATTGTTCTGGACGAGCCTACGAACTACCTCGATCGCGACTCCCTCGGTGCCCTTTCCAACGCTCTTAAGGCGTTCGAGGGTGGTGTTGTCATCATCTCGCACAACGCTGAGTTCACGGAGTCACTGACCTCAGAAGTCTGGACAGTAAACGTACGTTTTTGATCTCCTTACCCGTCTTGAAATCTTTTACTAACGCGCATGATAGAACGGACGCATGGTTCCTTCTGGTCACAAGTAAGTTCTTCTTGCCGGGATGCGTTTTTTCCTTGTGCTAACACATGATGCAGCTGGGTACAAGGACAAGGTACCGGTCCCCGATTGACGTCCAAAGACGATGACGAGGAAGAGAAGTTTGATGCTATGGTATGATTCCCGTGACTGAACTGTCGGCTCAGAAACTAACTTTCCGAAGGGCAACAAGATCGAAGGCAACAAGAAAGCCAAAAAGCTCACATCTTCCGAGTTGAGAAAGAAGAAGAAGGTTAGTCCTATGAACCCAGTGAGAATGTCCCAGACAATTGCTGACTCGAGTCCAGGAACGTATGGCGCGACGAAAGCGTGGTGAAGAAGTCTTCAGCGACGAAGACGAGTAGATTACTCGCGCTTCCCCCGATTTCCACAGCACGACTGCTTTCCCCACCGAGAAAACCTTACCGCTGCTCGACTCGTTTTCAGACATGACAAGTTATCGTTCAGGGAAGTTTGGATGATTAATGAACACGGCATTGATATCCGATCCGGCGTTGGGCGCGGGCTTGAAAACTTGCATTGTGTTGTACGACAGTCCTATTACTGTGAACTGCCGGCGTGTACCTTGGAACATGCATGCCCGAGCAATGTTCACGCAAGGCGATCATGAGAAGAATCGCCACGATAGAACTGGGGCCACGATAGAAGGCATAGAGTGGAACGTCGTGCATAGACGATAGAGTTCTTTGCAATGGAAAAGATTTCTCTTCAATGTTATGACTGCGTGTACGGTGTACAGGAGGGTTCCTTCTTGCGATCAAAAGTGAAGGCTTAAGGTTCAGATTCGCCTGCTGTTCATTGCATAGGCTGCATTCACGAAATCCTGCCACATATGTAAGACCTTGCCCTGCTGCTGGCCACTGCGTCCCTGGTTGGTGTTGCGATAAATGGTCCAGTTGATATGGGTCTCAGTATCGCGCTGAAGGGCTTTGGCGTAGGGAGGTCTCACTCATCACGTCCATGGAACCGTTTGAAGCAGCCCAGCGGGGTTGTGAAGGAAAGACGCGAACCGTTCTAGTAATTGTGTATCGATGCTTCGCGAGGTCACGAGCTCGGTTCTCCTGGCTCTGTTCGAAAAGCATTTGTCTGTCGAACGCGCAGCTCGCAGACATACGCATATTGAGAAGTGAGCCTCAGTCTGACGACGCCAATTTCAATGGCCGAGGTCTGTTGCCGGGAATGCGCCCGGAGAAGTCCCACCATCCACCCTGCTGCAGAGAGCCACCAGCCACAACCGGCGTTGGGGGTAAAGCCTGACAGGGCTGTCGGATAGTGCACCGAAAGGCTGGCGGTCGACTGCTCGGAACAGGCGAGCCGACGCAGATGAGCGAATGGCAGCGGCACCGTGCCCAGAGCCTCCCACTTCCTTCCAGGGAATTATCCCACGTTCACTCCGCCATCACCTCCGGGGTGGAGGGGTCCTCTTCATCGCTTGCGGCCTTCTCTAAATGGTTCGATTGACCGGCCTAGAGCTCGTATGCACCTCCCTGATGATGCCGTATTCTCGGCAGATCGCAGGAATTACTGGTCTGGCCTGACTGAACCATACGCCACATGGGCGGCTTTGGTGTATGAAGACCCGCGGTAAGGTACTAAAGAGCGACTGTTTCCTGTGCCTCCTACTCGCGGCGACCTTTTACTGTGCCCGTCTTTCGCTTGCTGCCCCCTCGGTCCTCGCCGGAGAGGTTTTGTTCCAGAACATCCTGAATCACCCACGGGTCCGTCGTCGTTGAACGGGTTCCGTGTCAAAGCCATCTGCGCCGCCACCGCCGGCTTCGATCAACATGGGCTCTCTGGGCTACAAGGTTGCCGACAGCATCTATGCGCACCCTCTGATCTCAGAAAGAGCTATTGACGAGCCTCGACCACTCAAAGTCATCTATGTCGGCACCGGTGTCTCTGGTATCTGTGCAGCTATTCAGTTTCCAAAGTTCCTGCCGGGAGTAGAACTTGCCATTTACGAGAAGAACGCCGATGTGGGAGGCACATGGTTTGAGAATCGATACCCCGGTTGCGCTTGTGGTATGTGGCTCGATCGCTCTCCGTGCGAAGTCGACATCTAACACAACCCCAGATATCCCAGCTCATTCGTACCAATTAAGCTTCGAGTCAGAAGTACACTGGAGCCAGTTTTATGCTGGAGCGCCCGAGATCCTACAATACTGGAGGAAGGTTGCAGACAAGTACGACATCAGGAAGTACATGAAGTTCAACCACAAAGCGATCGAAGCTCGGTGGAACGAAAAGACGTCAAAATGGCACGTCAAATTCCAAAGGTTAGACAGCGATGAGGTTGTGGAGGATGTCGGTGACGTCTTCATGACCGGCATTGGCGTGTTGAATGAATGGAAATGGCCAAGCATAGAAGGCATACACAGCTTCAAAGGCAAGCTGTTACACAGCGCAAATTGGGATCCAGAATATGACGTGACGGTCAGTCCGCTGTCGCTGCCCTGCCGCAAGCTCCGCTAATCACTTCTGCAGGGCAAGGAAATCGCAGTCATTGGCGCCGGTAGCAGCGGTATCCAGATCGTCCCAACCCTACAGCCCAAAGTCAAGTCGATGGACCATTACGTGCGCGGCCGAACGTGGATTGCTGCAACCTTTGGCAATGAGCTGGTCAGAGAACGAAACAATGGACAGGACGGGAACTTCAACTACACACAAGAAGAGATGGAGGCGTGGGAGAAAGACCCTGAGGCCTACATCAAGTACCGCAAGGCAATCGAACTCGGTATGCAAGGTAGCTTCGCCTTGACACACCGCGGGTCCAAAGAACATGAGGGCGCATGGTCGCAATTCACCCAAGAAATGCGCACACGGCTAGACAAGAAGCCACAGATCGCAGAGCACCTCATTCCCGACTTCCCACCTCTTTGCAAACGACTTACACCCGGACCTGGCTACTTGGAGGCTCTGGTCGCCGACAACGTCAATGTCATTGCCGACAAGATCGAGCGCATTGACGAGACTGGCATTATCACGAGTGATGGCAAACACCGACCGGTCGAGGTCATTGTGTGTGCAACGGGCTTTGACACCTCGTTCCAAGGCCGTTTCCCCATTTACGGCCGCGGAGGAGTCAACCTCCAGGACCGTTACAGGACTCGGCCGGAGACGTACCTCGGCGTTTGCACCGATCAGTTCCCCAACTTCTTTCAATCACTGGGTCCTAATCAAGGTCTCGGAAATGGCAACCTTCTGGTTCTCATCGAAGCCATCTCGTCATATGTCGGGCAGATACTGCAGAGACTCGGCCAAGGGAATGTGAAGACCATCGAGCCGAAGCGAAAAGCCGTAGAAAACTTCACCGACTACTGCGACGCCTACTTCAAACGTACGGTCTTCTCGGCAGAATGTGGAAGTTGGTACAAGTCAGCCCCGCCTAACGCGACGGCGGAAGAACGAAAGAGGGGCCGGGTGACTGCGTTGTGGCCCGGCAGCAGTATTCATGCCGTGCGGGCATTTGAAAAGGTCCGGTTCGACGACTACGAGATGACTACATGCGACGGCAACGACTTTGGATGGTTCGGCGACGGCTGGGCCGTGGCTGAGCGAGTCGGCGATGTTGAGGGCTTGACGTGGTATCTCAACGGTACCCGCTTCTTACACGAATCGTTGGAGAAGGGCGAGAAGCTCGTTGTCGGCGAGGACAAGATTGTGACCAAGGGGGAGGAAGATGGAGTCAAGAAGGGTGAAGTCGCAACGGAATTCCGAGTACCAGATGGGATTGTGGCGACTTGAGATATAGTACCACCGACAAGATAGATCTCGTCATGGGCACATGTGCATTCGTCTATATCAGACGTATCTGCGAGGTGTCATATCCGATAAGGATCGTTGTATATGCAGGCTTGACAGGACTAAAGTACGACTATTCCATACAAGGATACTGTAGCCTGAATGGACTCTCATCTCCGTTTGATATTCAGGCATCGACGATAGCAATAGCAAGTCTCACATTCATATTGAGCACTGTTCCTCACGACGATGAGCCAGGCCTCGTTTCCTCCCGTCCGCCTCTCGGCTTTCCAGCAACCGCTGCCATGGCGTCGTGGCGGTCGATGAGCGTCTCCGTCTCTACTCTCGTTGTCTTCTTCGTCAGCCTCGCTTATCTGCTCTTCTCCGCCTCCACTACCGCTCCGATCGGGCAACAAGATCTCGCGTCTCCCGCGGCTTCGAAGGACCCTCACAAACATTTTCAGGCTCCAGCCGAGAACCCTTGGGCTGAGCTCGATGAGGCAGAGGCCTCGCAAGTCTACCTCTGGCTCCATGACACTTCGCATCTGCTCAATTCGAGCGGTGAAGAGGCAAGCGCATGGGACACCAACACTCTGAACCTGGTCGAACTCCTGCGACCAAACAAGTCCGATGTCGCCGACTACCTTGACCACGGAGGCCCGCCACCGGAGCGATGGGCGAGACTCTCCAGTCTCGAAAGACGTGGCGACGACGCCTTCGTCAAAGAGTACATGGTCGGCCCTCTACCGCCATCGAACCACACCCAGATTCTACCCTTGACATACTGCCACAACTCCGGGCGCAACTCTGTCCAAAGTCCGATCTCAGATGTCTTCGCTCTACTGGACTGGGCTCTCGTCATCGGCGAGAACGCATCAGACATCACGCTCGAGCTGCTCGGCGCAAAGACCAATCGAGACAACCTCGACGACCCTGATGGCCTGGTCATTGGCTCGAGGCCTGCACTCATCGACTCAGGCCGCATGGTGCACTGGCTCGAGTTCTTCCGTCCGGGGATGAAATCGGACGGTAGAAGTCTGCTGCCTCAAGGACTGTACGTCAAGCTGGACATTCCAACGGCCCGGCCAGAGACGTGGAAGACCGGCGGCTGGTTCTACAACGGCATTCTATACGACAACGACACGATGCTCCGCGAGGCCATGAAGTCTCCGGACTTCCAACGCCTGGTGGTCAACGAGGACGGCGCCTGGACCGATACCGAAGACATTGCCAGTTGGGCTCCCGAGAGAGCCATGGCCCCGCCGCTGTCAATCCAGCCATACGGACCGCGGTACCACCTCGACCGTGACGAGAACTATATCTCGTGGATGGGCTTCTCGTTCTACCTGTCGACGTCGCAGGCCACGGCTCTCTCGTTGTTCGACATCCGCTACAACAATTCCCGCATCATCTACCATCTCGGCTTGCAGGAGGCACTTGCCCACTATGCCGGCGTGGAACCCATGCAGTCAGGCCTCGAGTTCCTCGACACATTCTTCGGCATGGGCAAGATGATGTTCAGTCTCGTCCCTGGTCTTGATTGCCCTGGCCACGCCGAGTATATTGACATGTCGTACCATCGGGCAGGCAAGATGTACACGAACAAGAACGCCATCTGTGTCTTTGAATATACCTCGGACGCGCCCCTGCAAAGACATACATCTGCTTTCAGCGCCACTGTCAGCCGCAACACGTATCTCGTGGTTAGGAGCGTGAGCACCGTCGGTAATTATGATTACACGGTAAGTCTGCCCTTTTCCTTGGCTCGCAACGTGGGCTCACGCTGTTACTCCTCTAGATCGACTATATCTTCTACCTCGATGGGTCCATCGAAGTCAAGCTCCGCGCGTCAGGCTACATCTTTGGCGCCTTCCACGCGGAACCACGCTCTTCGCCTGTCCCACGCGACTCCTCCACGAACGAATACGGCTACCGCATCCACCCGGGCGTGCAGACATCCATGCACGACCACGTCGTGAACTTCCGCGCCGATTTTGACATCTGCGGCACGGCGAACACGCTCGTCCGGACGACCGTCGAACCCCTCCAGCGCGAGTACGACTGGGACAAGCCCGAGGTCCCGGCCCAGCGGAACACAATGCACATGCTGCACCAGCCCGTCACGCGCGAGACGGGGTTAAACTGGCCCAAGAACGCAGCTGAGATGTATCTCATCACGTCGCCCACGGTGACGAACAAATGGGGCGAGTCCCGCGCGTACCGCATCCTCCCCGGCACGGGCATGGGCAACCCCGCGCACCTGACGATCCTCAACTCGACGACCCTGGGACAGTCGGCGACCTGGTCGAGCTCGGACCTGTGGGTGCTCAGGAACCACCCGGACACGGAACCCAGCAGCGCGCACCACAACAATTACCTCGAGCCGTTGGCCCCGCTCGTCGACTTCACCAAGATGGTCGACGACGAGGACATTGACGGCGAGGATCTGGTCGTGTATTTCAACCTCGGCGGGCATCACGTGCCGAGCAGCCAGGACGTGCCGAACACGTTGATGCACACGAGTGCGAGTAGCGTGCTGTTCATGCCGTTTAACTACTTTGACGAGGACGTCAGTAAGGCGTGGAGGCAGGGCGTGAGGGTCGATCGGCGGCCAGTAAGAGAAGGTCGGGGCGGCACTGCTGAGAAGGAGGAGGTCAAGCCAAAGCTCAAGCGGACAACGGACGCGCAGAGCGAGGAGAACAAGAACAAGAAGCAGCAGAAGGACGAGGACGTCGATAATGATGGCGTGACGTGGTTCGGCGGCCGGTATACGCGGGATGTGCTCGTGGGGCGGGAGATGCTCACGCCGGATCTGAGCCACTATATGAAAGAGCGGGAGGAGGGGGAGGAAGGAGGGTGGAAAGCCGTGCGAAATGCCGTCGGAGGGGGGTTGGTCGGGTTGTTCGTCGGCAAGGAGAGGGCGGGCGAGGAGGGTGGGCCGTTGGATTGGTGACACACATAGAGGTGGTGAGTTGCATGGGCGAGTTGAAGGCGTACAGTGCGTGTGTACATGCTTCAGAAGCTGCGGATGTGTACGGGTAGGGGAGCTACCACGGTACAGTATTTTGCCAACCGATACTGAGCCTCAGGGAGGTAGGGGAGCAAGGTATGTGTCAACCGATATTGGACCACGGTATATGTCAACCGCTACTGGATCGCAGGTTGGTATCGAGGTCAAGCTGTGAAGGGGACGTAGTGGTGGTGATGTTGAAGACGTACACACGTAAGTACCTATATACACCGGCACACACACGCATACCTAGGTACGTTTATTTTATAGAACATGCGCATAGCATACACGTGTATTTTATGCAACACGCGCATAGTATACACGTCCTCCGTACATCTACAATAAAAGATAGGCAATAACCACCGATGTATCTAACCCCTATATCTACGTGTGTGATTACAGAGATATCCCGTGGCCATGGTGACGGCCTGGAATGAGTGGCAAAAAGTGAAAAAGGGGAAAGGGGGAACGAATATTCCTTTGCTTGACAACCTCTCATGTCCTCTCCTCTTTTCTCTCTGGAGGCAGTGCGGGTTAGTGGGCGGATAGCGGATGGGTAGGTAGGTACATAGTATGTGGGTAGGGTATTGAGAGTATTTAACGTGCATTGAGAGTATTTAACGTGCATTGAGAGTATCTAACGTGCATTGAGAGTATCTAACGTGCATGCACTGTTGCACTGTCACACGAAATAATACATCTGTGATAAGATGGTCCTGGTCACTGTTCAGTGTACTCGCGCATCACTCGGTCAGCCAGTCGGTCGGTCGGTCGGTCTGTTGGTCAGACACCGTGCTCAATTACATAGTATCACCAGTATCAGCCTTGCTCTTTTCCTTGCCGCTGCCCTTCTGAGAGCCGTTCGCATCCAACCGACGAAGAGGAAACGACGAGAGCGAGAACTTGTCCCACTTCCTGGCCTTTCCCGGCTTGACGGCCCTGAACATCGAGACAATGCTCGCTTTTGGACGTCTTTCTTCACCCTCACCTTCATCTCCCTCTCCACCTCCGTCCTCGGGTCCCAGCTCAGCGCTGGCTTGACGCTTCTTTGGTCGGGAATGTTGAATGTTGCATGAGGTGGTCGTCGTCTTGCTGACGCTGCTGCTGCCGATATCTTCGAGGTGAAGTCGGCTCAGGCTGTGATCGTTATGATGACGATGAAAGTGATGATGGTGATGGTGACAGTGATTGTGATCAGCATCCTGCTCATACGTGTGCGTCAGCATGAGTCTTTCGATAATATTACTTGGTATACTTTCTATCATTCGCGTTCTGGGACGTGGGCAGGCTTGGAAGGTAATTGAAACATGGAAGCCACTTCACCACCTCGCTTACCTCGTCGGATGTGCTGGTCGAGTCGGATAGGGTCAACGGGCTGATGCTGCGTTCGGAGTGCACATACGTGTGCGTGTGCGTCTGCATGTCTACGCTCCCGTCTTTATCCCCGTGCCCGTTCCCGGGAGTGAGGCTGGAACCTATGGCGTGGCCGGAGGAGATTCGAATTCTCCTTCCGGGGTGGGGCTCCTCTTGTTCATGGTCTTGTTCGTGGATGGTCTCCAGGTTCGGGTTCTGGTTCGAGTGTGAGTTCGAATCCGAGATGCAAGCCCGTTCGAAACTGCGGATCAACGTCAAGTGATGTTCTGGACTTGGCTCTTCACGTAGTGTCGACGGCAGAGACTTGAGATGATCGCGCGTGGCAGCCCCGTCTGTGGTCGAGGAAGATGAAGAGACCGTGCAGACGCTCGTCGGAGTGGTGGGCGACGGGATAGTCAACGTCACGCCAACAGGAGGCAGATAATCGAGGGTCCGTTTCGCTTCCAGCACCGCCAGGAGACTCGCTCGACCTCTCTTCGTGCTCATGGTATGGGCGTTCACTGGCACTGGAGGGCCACCCTGGGTGTCGATTCCGCTGTCTTCCCCATACAGCCACACGAGGTTGAAGAACAAGGTCTTTGCCGTGTTGTACTGGCGGACGAACGGGACAACATTTTCGGCCAGCGTGGCTCGGATGAATCGACAGGTGCCTGTGTTTGTGGTGTGCCATCGTCTGCGGCCCTCGTCGAATGCGGCTTGTTGCTCAGCCGTACAAGGTGTTGGACAACGAGGTTCCGTCCACACGCCGATGATCAGCTCGGAGGAACTGGCATTCGAGAGGAGGATGGGTTGGATGGCGGAATGCCATGTTTGGAAATTGGATTTGCCCTTGAGGACGCCAACGACGGCGACGGGATCGGTTGGAAACTCAAGGTGGCCAAAGTAGGCGGCCCTGTGGTAGCTGCGCGACATGATGACTGCAGCGTCAAGAACCTCCCATCCTTCAAGTAGACGGCGATCTGCTGCTTTTTGAGCTCTATGCCCCGGGGTATCTTGATGCAATCGGACATCCTGTCCTGATTCAGATGTGTGATAGTCGAAATCCCAGTTTCTCAAAATGAGACACTGTTCCAGCTCAATCATCAAAGATGTGTAATGTTGTAGACCGAAAACCTCCATTTGGAATCTCTTGCAATCCTGCAAGTCAATATCTGGCATTTAACTCGCCTAGGACACCCGACACTGGATGTCAATCTTCCTTTTCAGCCCAATAGTGCTCAACGAATGGCACATCCGTTCGCAGACCCGAAACCTTTCCCGACTCTATCGACGCCCACTTCCTTGCCTTGCTGATGCATACACATGGCGAGCCGTTTGACGAGTGAGTCTGTCGAGGGCCCGCGGTGGGGAAGACCAGCATGTGACATCGAGGCCGCTCGACGAAGATACTGCTCGGCCAGAGGATAATCTCCACGACTCATGGCGAGGGTGGCAAGCTGATCACAAGCCCAGGATGCCGTGCTGCTATTTGCTGAGCCTGAGTCAGAGGTTTCGTGAGCCAGGATTCTATGAGCAACTCCTTCGAGGGCGAACTCTTCGTGCTGCTCGGCATACAATCTCCCCAAAGCTGCCAACGCGGTCCTGTACCGTTTTGGGCGCATCGCCTGGCTGTCTTTGAGAAGCTGCTGGCACAGGAAATGTGCATGTTGGAAGGTCTTGCGTTTCCGGAGCGCGTCAATTTGGTCGACTCGGAGAGCGAAATACGACGAATTGTCTGACTTTCGGTGCGCCCTGTAGCCGTCGACCACCAACTGCATCATCGACTCAATTGCACGGTCGCGCACATCGGCTGCCTTGATCATTCCCAGAGCTCTGGCAAGGGGATGATGGTCTCCTAGCGAGTTCTCGGCCATTGACGATATGAAACCGAGCAACTGCTGCTCTAAGGCGGCTAGGCCTTCCCACGGCGTGGCAAAGTGGACGAGCAGGCAAGACAACAGTTGCAGCGGCGCGGATTTTATCAGCGGCCGCACCATGTTGCAGCAACCGTCGAAAGTGGTCCACGCGTCGTCCGCTCTCCCGCTGTGGAAGTAGTCGAATCCCCGGTAAAGACCGAGCCAGAATGCCGATACCTGGTCGGTCTGTCCTGTTCTCACCTCCCGCGGGATCATATCCGGAAAACGAGCCTGAAGCTCTTTCGACTTAAGGGGAGTGAAAGTAGTGAACTGCCACTGCACTGCCTCCCTTGTGTGGAAGAGGACGATTTCAGTGTTGTAAAGGTCCGTTGGCGGAAGGACGGTAACGGTGGCGAGATCTTGACCTTCATTGCCGTGGACGTGTGTCTTTGCGCACTCGGGCGAGGTACTCGGATCTGGGAGTGTTCTGGATATGGTTGTGTTGCTGGACGGAGATTCCTCCTTGACAGCGGCCTCGTCGACACAGATGTCATCTGGACTTTGCGACAATTGCTCCCAGACCCGAGTGAACCTCTTGTCGCTCCGGTATTGGCGTTTGACACGATCCAGCTTCAGAGGCCTGCCGCGGAACGATATGGAGTGGACGTCATGGCCGGCCTCGACACAGGCTTTGACACGCTTTGCAAGCAACTCCTTCTCCTTGGCCTTGTAGTTCTTGTGAATCTTCCAATCTGCGATGCGCCGCTTGAACATCTTCTCGCTGGCGTCAAAGCCGTGCCTCCTCGACAGAATGGCTCTGACATCTTTCAGTCTTCGGTTCTCGCCAATGTAAAGTTGAGTAAACACATCCTTGATGGATAGCCACTCCTGCTGAGTAGGCGCGGCAGCTCTCCATGACAAGGAAGACTGCTGGCCGGTATGCGGCGTTACCTCACTCTGGTCATCCATTCCTGAGTCCATGGCATAATATTACAGCTGGTCGGTTGGAGGTCTCCGTTGATCTCGATTTGCGCCAGCTAATGGGGAGCCGAGGGTGAAGGAATCCTCGAAGTCGCAGACCATGGTCGATAGCCGGCTTAATAGAGCTATCTGTCTCTCCAGCGAGATCCAAGGGAGCCATGATGATATAAGGAGAACTTCTGTGAGTGAATCCGCTCAGAGCGATGACAGAAAGGTCGTCGACATTCTCGAGAAAGAAAGGCTGAGTAGACCCAAGCGATGACCGAACGCACTGCCATTGGTTACGGACGTCGGGGTGTCTGCCTCGCTGCCCTGGTCTCCGTGATGAGGTGCATTAGCGCTGAGAACTTGTGTTCACCGTCTCAGCAGCCAATGATGTTGTATAGCACTTTGGGAGACGAAGCACCACCATCGTCACACAGTCCTACAGGACTACTGGGAATCCCGACATATCATGTCTAGTCACGCTAGGAAGCAGGATAGTAGCAGCATGGAGATCGGGAGGTATTGGCAGAAAGCATGTCGTAAGTTTGCAACTCGACCGCTCCTCGTAACAAAGGCAGAGAGTCTGTCAACACAAGGAACTTTGCTACACACGCTTCGAATGAGCAAGCCATGGAAACAACAGACTTTGCGCTGTCTCTCGCATTTGTGAAGAGGGCATTCCCCCGTCTAGTATGAAGCCATACCCATGACTGACCGATGCTACATCTATCTTGATGTCAGGCTCAGTCAACGTCGTATGCGTCAACAGCGTCGCCCGGCTCGCCCAAAACCTGAGCTTCGCCTACTTCACTGCTCTTGCCCATATCAGCTTTCTTTCGCTTCTCCTCTTCTTCAATCTCCTTCAACCTCTTCTGACCCTCTTCGTTGGTGGCGTCTATCACACCCTCTTGGAGACTTAGCATCCCGCCCTGACCAAGCAGCTCGACAATCTCCTCAGCCTCTTCGACACTCATCTTCCCCAGAACTTTGTTGACTTCGTCTAGACTTCCGCTTTGTAACGCTCGTTGCAGGCCGGGGGGAAAGCGATCAAAAATCTTACGTGCCTCTTGCTCAACAGGATCATCCGAATCAGCTTGTGGTACGTTGATGTGGATTTCTGTTCCGGGCTCGACGGCGTGAAGTTGGATTTGTTCTACGCCAGCCGGGTCATTTCCTTCTTCCTTTTGCAGCTCCGCCGCTCGGACTTTGATCCTGCCATATGTCTCGGCCAGGTCCTTGTTGAATACCTGTTGCGCTTGATGGCCTTTAGTCGTGATGCGCTTGAAGAACATCCCGACGCCGTCCCGGCCCAGCTGTCGGCAGTACTGGATGAGGAGACTCTGGTGCACGCACGTTCGAGCATAGGCGTCTTGGCCCTTCATCTGAGCATTGAAAGCCTCGATCATAAGTGCATCTTGCGTCTTTTCATTCACGATCTCAGGGTGCTCTGAGATATATTGCAGGCATGCACGATAGTCACCGATTTTGATCTTCGCAAACTCTTTGCCTTCGGGCGTGAGTTTGATGTTCACCTCGTCTTCTTCGTCATCGTCCTCGTGCTTCTCAAGAAGGGATCCGTCTTCAATGTCTGCCTCTGCACCGGACGAAACACCCCCGTCGACAGGTTGGAGGGCTTCTCGCGTTTTCGAGCTTATGCCTTTGGGAGCGTTCAGTAGCTCCACTGTTTCGGTCTTGGTCGACTCTTTTGCTTTCGGCTTCTCGGTCTTGGCTGGCTTCGGTTTTGGGTTGTTGACATGAGAAGAGTCAAACCCGACATGGATGTCCTCGCTGGTGATTTTGGCCGTCGCCTCTTTCTCCAGCTGTGCCAGCCGTTTTAACAGGTCTTGCTGTAAGTTTTGAACCTTGGTAAGATGACCATGGACCCCTTGCACAAAGTCCGCATATCTGTCTGTAGAGGAATCTTTCTTCTCGTCCACCTCTTTCTTGACCTGATCTATCAGCGCGCCCATCATCTTCGAATACCGCGGCTGTTCCTTCTGATGGGTGTACACACCCTCGGGAGGCTTTGGCGGCTCATCTTTGGCAGGATCTCCAGCACTTTCGATCAGGGATTGAAAGACAAGCTCGTCAGGGTTCTTCTGGGCTGTTTCCGTCTGGTGCCTCTTGAGAGCATCCAACAGGGCATTGATGCGTTCGAGGAGGCCATCGTTGACGATACGTTCATACTTGAGGGTCTCGATCTCGTGTTTGCGCTGGGCTCGTTGTTCGTGTATCTGCCGCTGCTTCGCGCGAATGAAGCTCTTGGTATCGACGTTCGGGTGCACCTCGACGTCGGAGTCGTCTGAGACTTCGAGCCTGTCCCACTTGTTGTAGTCGATCGGCATGATGCTTTGGTGATCGAGGTGGACTGTGGAACGTGTTGCACTCTTGAGTTTGGTAGTCGTTGTCGACTGGATTGTTCTAGAAGCATGGCAGGTGAATCGATGGTGATAGTGAGCCAGCCTCAAGTGGCATGTTGGTGACGTAAGGCCCGCAGTTTGGGGCATGAGAGCCTTGCAGGCGCGCCTGTGGCTCGAAAATAGAGGCCGAGAGGGGCTCTCGGGGCTCACGAGCTTTACTGGTTAGGGAGCCACAGGCCCTGGAGGAGCACGAGGAGCTATTCGGCCTCGGCCTCGCCTTTCCGTCAATCGGCCGCCCCATCGTCATTGATCCGCGTCCAGCACAGCCTGTAGGAGTCTTTTCTCACTTCTCCATGTTCTCATTGCGATGTCAATCTTGCAGCTCCTGCTAGACCTTCCTGCCGTACCATTGTCGCCGACATGAGGAGGAGGCGGGGTGCGCAAATACCATTATATCACTGACACCAACCGGCTCCAGGCATGATTGCAACGCGCACCCCGGCGCTGCTTGCTTTCAGGCCTTTCCAACATGGCTCTCGGCTGAACCAGCTTGACCAGAACATCCTCCTTTCTCTCTACAACTCCGCCCCCCGTCATTCGCGGATATCAAGTCGTTCACTGCAGGTGTGGGCGAGACCTGCTTCTCCTCCGCAGGTCCGCAGTCTTGGGTGGCAGCAGTCATGTACAAAACCCGCTCAAGCATTTTGCCGAACCACCGTGCCTTTCCAGTCAAGCATAGCAGCACAGGCGCGACACTTCACCTGCAGCCGCTTGCTGTACGAGACACCGACGCCGGTCATCAAGGAACAGCAGAGATCAAAGTCCGAGGACGATGGCAATGAGGAGGAAGCTTTTCAGAAGAGTGAGAAAGCGAGCCAGGCGTCTCAGGTCAACCTCAGCGCCAGACTATCAAAGGAAGGTGCTGCTGGTAAGAGCGCTGGGTTTGGAGAGATATGGCGATTGATCAAGATTGCACGCCCTGAGGCGAAGGTCTTGGGATGGGCATTCTTGCTACTCCTGATATCTTCGTCGATTACCATGTCCATCCCATTCTCGATCGGCAAAATCTTGGATATAGCCACCAAAGGTGGAGCTAAGACCGACGGCGAGGAAGGCGAGCAGAAGTCTGAGATGCTCTTCGGCTTGAACTTGACGACCTTTTATACCGCTCTGTTGGCTATCCTTGCAACGGGGGCTGCCGCAAACTATGGCCGAATCATCATCCTTCGAATCGTGGGCGAGAGGATAGTAGCTCGGCTGCGGTCGAGGCTGTTTCGCCAGACCTATATTCAGAACGCCGAGTTCTTCGACGCAAATCGTGTGGGCGATTTGATTTCTAGACTCAGTTCCGACACAATTATCGTCGGTAAATCCATCACACAGAACCTCTCGGATGGGCTTCGTGCCTTTGTCTCTGGTGCTGCAGGGTTCGGCTTGATGGCCTGGGTGTCTCTCAAGCTGACGGGAATATTGACCCTGCTCTTCCCTCCGGTGGCTATTGGTGCATTCTTCTATGGACGAGCAATTCGGAATCTAAGCCGAAAAATCCAGAAGAGCGTCGGAGATCTGACCAAGATCGCGGAGGAGAGGCTGGGAAACGTTCGAACATCACAGGCATTCGCCGGCGAGATCCTCGAAGTCCACCGCTACAATACACAGGTTCGCAAGATCTTTGAGCTGGGTAAAAGAGAATCCATCATCAGCGCGACTTTCTTCTCTTCGACGGGCTTCATGGGCAACATGACCATCTTGTCGCTTCTCTACGTCGGCGGCGGTATGGTATCGAATGGCACCATCAGCATTGGAGAACTCACGTCCTTCCTCATGTACACAGCTTACGCTGGTTCCTCCCTTTTCGGCCTGTCATCGTTCTACTCGGAGTTAATGAAAGGTGTTGGAGCTGCATCCCGGCTGTTCGAGTTGCAGGACCGGGAGCCTACGATATCCCCTACAAAAGGCGAGAAAGTAGTGTCAGCAAGGGGGCCTATTCGGTTCGAGAACCTGTCCTTCAGCTACCCTACAAGACCTGCTGTGTCCATCTTCAAAAATTTGGACTTTGAGATCCCTCAAGGTGCCAATGTGGCCATTGTTGGTCCGTCGGGTGGTGGGAAAAGCACCATCGCCTCCCTGATTTTGAGGTTCTACACACCCACAGAAGGTCGCATCCTGATCGATGGGAAGGACATCTCGACCATGAACATCAAGTCGCTTAGGCGGAGGATTGGCATTGTGTCCCAAGAACCCGTCTTATTCTCCGGCACCATTGCTGAAAACATCGCCTACGGCAGACCTCATGCAACGCGAGCTGAAATCATGCGTGCTGCGAGACGAGCGAACTGCCGATTTATCAGCGATTTCCCCGATGGTCTGGACACTTCCGTCGGTGCACGTGGGACGCAGTTGTCTGGCGGCCAAAAACAACGTATCGCCATTGCGCGGGCATTGGTCAAGGAGCCGGACGTCTTGATCCTCGATGAAGCGACTTCGGCTCTTGACGCCGAGTCTGAGACTTTGGTGAATGAGGCGCTCGCGTCATTGCTCAAGGGCAGTAACACAACTATCTCAATCGCCCATCGTCTGTCCACCATCAAGCGGTCTGATACAATCATCTGTCTCGGCAGCGATGGACGTGTCGCCGAGATGGGATCGTACAAGGAGCTCAGCAGTCGACCCGACGGTGCCTTCACGAAACTGATGGAGTGGCAAATGAGTGGTGGCGAAACTGCAGCGAACGATGTGAACAAACTGGCAATTGATCCGGAACACAAGGGACCGCCAACGGAGAAAGACGAGATCGAAGCTGAACTGGAAGAGAAGAATGAAGGCGACAGCGAGGAAGAGCTCGAGGCGAGCAAGGCCGAAGAAGGTGTCCACAAAGCCTTGGGAGAGAAAAAGACATAGATGACGACGCGAATTCAAGCATGCCTGTCACCAGAGAACGTGCCACGAGATTTGTCTGATGGCAATGGCGCCCAGCTGAACGCTTCTAAGCATGGCCGTTTGCTGGATATGCTGTTGTGCTCATGAAGATAGAGACAGAAGAACAACAATAGCTCATTACGGTCGAGGAAGAGCAGCACGCCTGGTATAGGGACATTTTGCGCATTTCAAGGGGAAGTACCGGTGGGACAACTCGGTGCTTGAATGCTGTATGTCGACGTTGAGATCCGTGAAATGAAACAACAATATGATCCCTCCTCAAACTTGACAATACGGCCTGCCTTCTGCTTGACTGGGTAACAGGTACCTTCGGTACTGTTCTGGCAAAGCACAGCAAAAGAGTTGGGAAGTCGTTGGACCAATGCTAGTTGCAGTAGAGAGGCCCAACAAGCGCAGCCCGAGTCTCCTCGTTTCCCAACCACAGGCACTTTCAGGCCTGAGAAAGGGCCTAAGGGGCTTTGATCCCCACTACGCAGGCCCCTCTGTCCAGTGCCCGCCGCCTGAAGCCCCTCACCCTCGTAAGTCGTACCTCATCCTGCGCTGGCTGCGAAGGATCCGACCGGCGCGTCACATTTCATGCTTTGTGCCATGTGCTTCTTCATTCTGCCATTTTGCCATCCGGTCGAAAGCCCAGATCAGAGGAAGGGTCCTGCGTCGTTGCAGCCCTTTTGAAGATAGGATTCATGCTTTCCGTCATGTCATCCCTCATGCTCCTTCCCTCGTATAGCTCTGTGCTGTGCAATTGGTTGAACACCGTTGAGTATGGCTGATCGCTGATCATTGACACCCACGACTGGACTACGGACAGCATACTTTTGTTCTTCGCATCTGCATACTTAGATTTCAGTATCGGTCCCATATCTATCATGGCCTACAATGTCCACAGCCTGATTTCGGAGACCCAAGACATCGCGGATAAGGGCCTTCACGATGTTCGAGCACCTGTCCAAGTTCCCTCCCGAGCCGACGACAAGCCTCCTCAACCGACACGCAAGGTGCGTAGCAAGTATCGACATGTGGCAGCGCCGCACTCCAAAGCTCAGCCCTCATGCCTCAGCCACGAGACGACGGCAAGCCCCAGCTTCATCGGATTCCGTAACCTCATGGTCTTGACCATCATCGTCATGAACCTGCGGCTGGTTGTCGAGAACGCCAGAAAGTATGGGTTGTTGATCACCCTCAAGTCGAACCTCAGCAGCCGAGACGTCAAAACGGCATTGGTGCTCTACGCTTGCACGCCCTGTCACCTGTTCATCGCCTACATTATCGAGAGAGTGGCCATGGAGCATGCCAAAGGAGTGATTGGAAGACGAAAGAAGACCGACCCCGATGCCGATAAGAAGCCGGAGACGGAGAAGCAAACGAAAGAGTTCTTGAATACATGGTGGTTGATTGCTATCGCACATACTATGAACGCGACGCTGGCTCTCACCATCTCGAGCTGGTGGGTCTACTACCGCATTCACAATCCCGGCCTCGGGACAATCAGCGAACTCCATGCCATCGTTGTCTGGCTCAAAACCTGTTCCTATGCGTTCACGAACAGAGACCTACGACACGCCATGTTGAACCCGGGCGGCCCCGATTCAGCCCTGCCTGAGTTCTACTCCAGCTGTCCGTACCCGAAGAACATTACCCTCCCGAATTTATGCTACTTCTGGTGGGCACCCACACTGATCTACCAACCCTGCTACCCCCGGACGGACCGGATCAGATGGACCTTTGTCTTCAAGCGAGTTGGCGAAGTCGTTGCACTGAGCGTCTTCATCTGGCTGGTCTGCGCTCAGTATGCAGTTCCACTCTTGCGCAACTCGTTAGGTGGGATGGCCTCGTTTAACATATCCTCAATCGCGGAACGAGTGATGAAATTGTCACCCATCGCCATGATTGTCTGGCTTGCTGGGTTCTTTGCCTTGTTTCATTCATTCCTCAACGCACTGGCGGAGATCATGATGTTTGGTGACCGGGTCTTTTATGAAGACTGGTGGAATAGTATCAACCTGAAGGAGTACTGGTCGACCTGGAACAAGCCCGTCTATCACTTCATGCGAAGACACATCTATTCCCCCCTTGTGGGACGCGGCTGGTCTCATCAGGCAGCGAGTACTTGGGTGTTTGTCTTCTCGGGGTTTCTGCATGAACTGGCCATCGGAATACCATCTCACAACATCCTTGGAGTGGCGTTCCTAGGAATGGTCCTGCAGCTACCGCTGATTGCAGTCACCGAAGTCCTGTCCAAGTCTGGGAAATTCGGCGGCAAAGTGGCTGGCAATTGTATCTTCTGGCTCAGTTTCGTGATCGTGGGCCAACCTCTTGCTGCCATGACATACTTCTTCTGGTGGCAGATGAAGTACGGTGAGCTCAGCAAGGTCGCACAGTGCGCGCAGTGATTGGAACACGGAACAAAGTTTCAAAATGTTGTCTTCATAAATTATTTACAATGCTAATGCGTTTGCCTTCATCTTGCATGTAACGATGTCACTCCATTGATTAGATCACGTGATCACGTAACTCGGCTTCACGAGACTCGACGCTGGGACTTTAATTCTGTGCTGCTCTCTGACAACCACCAACACCATATCACGCGTCTCGCAAGAGCTTCAGAGATTCGGATTCGTAGCGCGTCGGCTCTAGGTGTTTTGTCTCTTGCTGGAGAAAATCCTTCCTGACAGCTCGTCGTGTCTTAACCAGGAGTCAACAGGACGTCCCCCCCCCCCCCCGGAGAAACACCAACAGAGACAGCTTATCGCCCCTTTCACGTCTTGTTCAAATGAGGACACAGCTCAGTCATCATGGCCAACGTCTACGATGACCAAGACGGAGGCGCTTTCCGTCGCAGGAGACCGCGCCCGATCACTGATTATGGCTCGTCCATGGTTCAATGGATGAACAGCCGGCGACCCGCGTGGAAAGGCACATCTCATTACGAGCAAGAACGGCCGAGTCAGAGCTATGTCATCGACATGTTACCGCCGCCGGCGCGACGGGATGCACCCGCCGAGTCAATACCCGTCCGTCATTTGCACACCTCATTAGGCAAATCGAAGAAGCCGGTCACTGTGGTGCGCTGGATGCCCGAAGGTCGTCGCTTGCTTGCCGGCGTGCATAACGGAGAATTCATGCTCTGGAACGGCATGTCATTCAACTTTGAGACCGTGACTGCCATGGGCTCGAGTTCTCTACGCGCGGCCGAGTGGTCGAATCGAAAGGACTGGCTTGTTGCCGCCAACGACGAAGGCACAGTGTACTACCTCCAGCCGACACTGAACAATCCGCATCAGTTCAAGGGTCACGATGCGCCCATCAGAGACATTGCGTTCGCGCCCTCGGACGCCAAATTCGTTACCGCCTCGGATGACAACACGCTGAAAATCTGGGACTTTACTTCCTCGACCAATGAATCCACGTTCAAAGACCACGGCTGGGACGTCAAAGCCTGCGACTGGCATCCTCAAAAGGGCCTGGTCGTCTCCGGGAGCAAAGACCACAGTGTCCGGCTGTGGGATCCTCGCACCACGCGGAGCCTGACGACCCTGCACGGCCATAAGAACGCCATCACGGCGACGGTCTTCAGCCGCCTGCGGGATCAACTCCTCGCCACGGCCGGCCGAGATGGGCAGACCCGCATCTTCGACCTCCGGATGATGCGCGACGTGGCAATCCTGCGCGGGCACGAGAAAGGCGTGACAACGCTGTCGTGGCATCCGATCCATCCCAGTCTAATCAGCACTGGCGGCGACGACGGGTCCCTGCATTCGTACCTCCTCACCGAACCCAACACCCCTGCTGGAATCTCTACCGCCACGATATCGCCATATTCGACGAGCGACCCCCGCTCCGCTCCCCCACAGTCAATCTATCCCGCCCATCGCATCCCCCATGCGCATGATTCCTCAATCTGGTCGCTAGACTGGCATCCCCTCGGCCACATTCTGGCGACGGGTTCGAACGACCACTACACGCGCTTCTGGTCCCGCGCGCAACCAGGCCAGACAACATGTTTCAAGGACCAATTTCACCTTGGGGAGGAAGGCGCCGAGGCCCAAGGCACGTGGGACAGGAAATTCGGCAAGAAGCAGGCCAGGGAGCAGGAGGAGATGGAAGAACAGGACGAGGCCGAGGGGTTGGAGGACCAGGGCGCCAACACGGGTGACCACGCCGGCGGACTGGCGATCCCGGGACTACCAGGCTTGTCGGGCATGCCATCAGGCCTGCCGGGTATAGGCATGGGGATGGGAATGGGGATGAATGGATCGGCGGCGGCGCTCCCATCATTCCCCGTTCTGCAGAACAACAACGTCCGGCCGTCGTCCAGCCACCACGCACAGCAACAACAACAACAACAACCGCCTCCACCGATCCCCCCGCCCTTCCCACCCATCCCTGGAATGGACGCCCAAAGCCTCCAACACCTCCTGGCCATGTCCCAGCAGCAGCAGCAGCAGCAGCAGCAGCAGTCCGGCACGGGAGGTCCACCTCAACCACTTGACTTTTCGAAACTCAATCTCCCGCCTGGGTTTCCGCCTCCGCCCCCGCCCCCGCCGCCTGGAGTCGGAGGCCCGGTACAAATCCCAGGCTTCCCCCTCCCGCTGCCTCTGCCCGGAACGACCTCCCTTCCAGTCATAGGTGGTGGTGGCGGCACAGGCACCGGTGGCATCCCCGGTCTCCGCGGCGGCGAGCTCGCACCGGGTGCCATCCCAGGTCTGGGCAATACGATGGCCGCCGCGCCGACAAACGACCCACGCGCGAGTACGAATGCGGGTGGGAGTGCCGCCAGCGTGAGGAAACGTGGGCCTCTACCCAGCCAGGAACAAGGGTTTAAACAAGAACAGGCGAGGGGCAATTACCGCGTTGCTCGATAGAGTCGGCTGTGCGATTTGCCGGATGGGTCGCATCCTGGGCGGACGGGTGCAGCGGGACGAAGAGGAGCATCAGCGCAGAGACGAGGAAGTAAAGGTGCGGATTGGGATGGGCCTCACCGCGAGCGCCGTGAGCACGAGCACGAGCGCGAGCACGAACACGGGCACGAGTACAAGGCGGAGACAGCGGCAGCGGTGGTGAGAGAAAGATACTGACTCGTGCAATGCCACAACAAGTTCCTGAACTGGACTTTGCATGGATGGGCTCATCCGGAACGGGAACAGGAAAGGGAACCGAAACGGCGTCTTGATTTTACTCACTCACTCACTCACTCACTCACTCACTATCCTCGTACTGTATGGAGGGACGTGAGTGGCGTTGCGAGGCTCTTGCATGGGAAAAAGGGGAGTGAGAGGCAAAGAATAAAGAAGTGTGGTTCGTGCTTGTAGTCTCTACATAGTAGTGTGCTCGCCATGGATCGCGAGAACAGAGTAGATGCAATGCAGTTTTGGACGTCTATTGTACAGGCCGATTCTCATTGATCGCATGTTAATTCTGATTCTGGGTGCTTCGACTTCCGGACAGTCTATGAGTGCTCTTTATTCTTCTATCGTCTCTAAGCTCTATTTTCTCTCTAGTAGGTCGTATCTCTCATGCAGCGGCACGTGTCCGTGGTTGGTCAGGTCGTGCACCTGAATGTATGAATGCCAAACAGCTCCCTTCTTCCCTTCTCGACAAAGCCCAAGCTGGCGCCTCTACGCCTATACCACAGCGCCGGTCATCCAATCGTCATTACATGGCCTTGCAATTCTCAGAGGCCCGTCAGGATAAAGCTCCCTCGTTTATTGATCGTGAAAGTGAGCGGTAGGGCTGCGCACGCATTGTTCCTTCCACCCACGTGTTCCGCTTTGCCATAGTCACTATCACGCCCTGACTGTAACACTCTGCGGCTGGGTTTGCGTGTTGATCTCCGTCTTCTCGGCCTCGTCGGCCGCCTGGGTGACATGCCTCTGCAAATCCGCGGGCTGCTGTCCGTGCTCCTCGGCCTCTTCATCCGCAACGGCAGGGGACAATTTGGCCGGGTTTTGCAACCCTTGGTCCTCCCAGCCTTGCATCATCCGCTCGAACAGTTCCTTCTGTTTCTCGTGATCGGGCATCGGGTGCGAGATGCCTCGCCGGTGGCGCGAGTCGCGGGTCTCTGTGAGGTGTGCTTCGGAATCGTCGTCGGAAAGGAAGGACGTCTCGAACGTGTAGGTGCGGTACTCGGTGTTTTCCCAGCCCGTGCCGGAGAGCTTGGCCGCGTCTTCCCAGTCGTCCGTGAGGTAGTGCAGGTACCCTCCGTGGGTGACTAGGACAATCTCCACGTTGTCGTCGCCGTTGCTGGCCAATTCCCGTGCCTTTTCACGCAGCAGTTTGCGGCAATCTCGTGCGCGGGCCTTGATCGCCGCGGATGCGGGAGAATAACGGTTCTCCAACGTCTTGACGTTCCATGTGTCGGTAAGGAGGGAGAGGTCGACGGGCCATTTCTGTTCCTCGACGAATGCTTTGAGCACGGGTACGTCGGATCCCGTGTCGCAGGGGTAGTCGCTTGTTTCTTGGGCGTCGGGGATTGCGAGGATGGTGGGTTTGCATTTGACGCCCTTGGACGTCAGTGCGGGCTTGAAAGTCAGAAAAGCAGTGTGCAGTGTCCTCGTTAAGGGTGAGGCGGTGATGAGGGAGATGGATTCTTGTCGGTCGGCGGGGAAGTGCTCTTCCTGCAGTTTGGCGCATTGGGATTCTCCAAGCGGTGTGAGGCGAGGGTCCGGGAGCGAGTGGAATTCGGTGCCCAAGTTGTGGAAGCCTTGGGCGTGGCGGACGAGATGAATCTTTGGTTGAGAGTGCATGACTGGCGATTGGCGATGCACCGAGGACGATCGAGGTCGCTGGGCCTGCGGTGAGTTCGTGGGAGAAGAGGCGGCGGTGCAGTCGATGTGATGTATCAGATGCTTAGGATTGTATGCACACGATATTGAGGAGAGCCACGGATGGGAAGAAAGGGGAAATCTATAGGTAGTACGGACAAAGCAATGAATCATGTAGAAGAGTTACAGTACGTGACTCGAGAAAAGGCGAATGCAAACAGATATCGCGAAGTCGGTCAAGATGACGCCTCCACCCCGCCATTGTCTTTGTTCCAATCGGCAGAACAACCGCATTGGCCACGCCGTGATATGGCCCGCCTGGATGAATGAAGCGGTACGAGTACGAGTGCTCGAACTGCATAGTGGCTCCGAAGAGGACGACGGGATCGAATTGGAAGGCAAGAAATCCCGTCGTGCGCAAGGACAGAACTCGACAAAATTCACGCAGCGCACAATTTAGCGGAGAGCGGGATGCCTTAGAAGGTTAGACCAGCAATGCGCGCGCGGCCCGGTTCCTGCGTTCACTTTAGCCGTCCAATCCGCGGAGGGGTCAGGTATGGAGTAACTGCAGGAGCGTCCTCGCCTCGAAGCGCCATAATGGGTGCTCAGTCGTCAACATGAATCACTCAACAACAAGATCAAATGGCCAGTGTCAGTAGATTACGAGTACGAGGGTCTTATCCCTCCATTACTTCGCCTTGATCCCGGCTACAAAAGTACCACTTGCGCGGGTGAAAAGCCTGGCGTCGGTGTGGTCTCTATCATTCAGCTCTTCACCGCAGTCACAGATGCTATTCAAACGGGGTATTCGGTGAACATAACTTCTTCCCCATGGGCAGCTCCTCACTCTTCCTGAGTCTCAATAGTACTTCCGCGGAACCATCCAAAGATACTACCCCTGTTGGTGCGCTTTGCTACTTCATCATCCGGCACTGTTTGCTCTTGTACCAGTCTCAACGGTCTCAGTTGGTTTTGTTTCATCACCGCTCCAGGAATATTGCTCTGGCTTTGCCGCTCTCCGCCCACTTGTGGCGCAATCGAGCTCCCGTCAGTGTTGGATTTCTGTTCATCGCTATGCGAGTCGCTCATCACACTGTTGGCCGAACTGCTCACACGGTTCCCGGAGGTTGACGGCGTTCGTGTTGTTGTGGAGGTGGCCGCGCCGAAGTAAGATCCCTGACCTTGCGATAACGGCGGGCTCAGTGGTCGAATGCCAGGGCTCAAGGGGCTTCCTGAGACCGTTCTCATAGGGGATCCACGGGTCATTTGCTGCACAACCGCAGCGGCCGCCGCGTCAGTCTGTGCCTGATCAGATCTCGCCCTTCGATGGCCCCGATTCAACGGGATACTTGGAGCTGTATCCGGATTTTCATTGGCGGACGGCCCTGCTGCTGTTGGGTGTATGTACGACATTGGGCGTGCTTTACCCCCTGGTCGTTGCACTACCGACCTGGCCCGCTGCAAGAATCCGGTAGCCGCGCCGGCTATGGTTGTAGGCGGAGCGGCAGCTTGCTGATCTGGGATTGCAGGCAGTGCCTTTTCGGCCATGGGTTTTGCGGGAGGCGGAGGTGGATCGTCCTTGTCTTGGATGATGTGCTCGAAGCCTTCGTGCGACAGCAATCGCCCGATAATCTTGTCGATGTATAACCGCAGGGCCTCGATTTCCGCCTTCAAGGACTTGTTGTCCGCGTCGAGTTTCTTGTATCCCTCGGTCTGGCCGTCTGCAATATCGTCCTCGGTCTCCTCTGTGGATTCGAGCTCCTCTGCAAGCGAGCTCATTCCACGAGCTTCGTCTTGGTTGTGATCATGACGCATAAATTCACCCTTGAGAGTCTTCTCACTCAGGAGCATCTCGTAACTCTCGTTTTCCTCCCTGAGTTTCGCATTCAGTCGCTGATATTCCGAGACCTTGTTCTCCAGATCCAGCCTGCGTGCATCTTGCAAGTGTTCCTGCTGAGCCAATCTAAGCTGTGCTTCGGCTAGGTCGATTTGCAAGGCATTGATGGTGTCCTCTTTCTGCTGCAAGACATGCATGACGTTTGGAGCATTACCTCTCTGTGTAGCGTTTTCTGCGACCACGTCTTCCTTGGGAAACTGGGCTTCAGTGGCGCCCCCACTTCTATTCGCGTTGGATCTTTCGATGCCGTTCAGGCGCAGGACTTCATTCAGGCGGTTGATGGTCGCCTGTTGCTGCGCTTCCTTCATTGTGTGCTTGTCTCGCTCTTGCTGGAAAAGCCGTTCATCTTCCGCACGCTGCCTCTCCAGCTCTCGGTTTTCCCGCTTCAGGTCATTGATTTCTGCCCTCAATTGGTCCACCTGTGTTCGGCTTTGAAAGTCGCGTTCCTCTGCAATTGTCTGATCGTGCGAGGCTTTGTCCAAATCCTGCCGCATCGCTTCCAGCTGATTTTTATACTGCTGGGAAACTTGCTCGGCCCTTTCGAATCGATCTCGCAGATCTTGTATCTCCTTTACCAGTTCGGAATTCTTCGATCTGGCCTCTTCATCCTCCAACTCGTGGTCGCCAGAGGCAAGGGAAATACTTGTGCGAGTCGGGGTTTTCCGCAAAGGCCGAGCCTGTCGCAAGGAGGGAGTTCTGGCAAGGCCAGTTCCAGTACTTGCGGGTACGGAACTTGCAACAGTAGGTCTGCTGGGACTATTCTCGTTGGGCGTGCGGCGAGACGCGGTGCCAGCGAGGGGAGTTCTCGAGTTGGGCGTCGCCATGATGAAGGGTAAGGGTGGTGGGTGCAGGGCCAAGTAACCGGCTCGCGTTGAAGTACCAAAGGAGGGTGTCAGATCGCGAGTCACTGACTGGATGGATCAGGTGCAGTGTGTTGACTGCTACGTAAATAGTGTGCAGTATGTGGATGGTATTGGCTGGAGATTGGAATCGACGTCGGACTGGTCAGGGAGCGAGCCTGCGCCTCATCGACGTTCAGCTTGAACGGGTTTGACGGTGATGTTGCGGAAACAGATGCGGGATATTGCTGTGCAGCTGGCAAACTCGTCAGCTATGGCAAAGTCGAGTGCAACATCAATGGTTTGTCTGGGCGCATGCCAGTCTCGTGCGTGCAATAAACAGCAGGAGCACCGGCGGAGCCTCGAGCCCTTGCTTGTGAGGCACTGCTGGCACAGGCACGCCGGAAACAAGGCCCACAGGGCCCCCTGCTTGCGTACGGGTAGCCGCATGGGGCGACAATGGGGCGCGAGGATGCCGCTGGCTGGTGCTTGGCTTGCTAACGTGAACTGTGCAGTGGCACAGTGGCTGAGTGCTCAGCCGGACTGCACTTGGAGCGGTTTGGTCGACCATTCTGCCAAGGCCACATTACATGCAATGCCATTTTCGCCATTTGATTTGCGCTAGCCTCCCAAATTTCACCTCACAGGAAACCCTTCAAACATCAACTTGCCGGAGCGCACCCTTCAATCAATTCTACTTCCACAACTAGTAGAGCGCAACGATGGCACCAAAGAAAGCGAAGAAGACCACCGACAGCATCAACTCGCGCCTGGCGCTTGTGATGAAGTCTGGTAAAGGTGGGTTCCCATCGATCCTGAAAGCGGTCGAACCAAGTCTGACTCTTTCGAACAGTCACCCTTGGTTACAAGTCAACGCTCAAGTGCCTCCGATCCGGCAAGGCCAAGCTTGTCATCATCGCTGGCAACACACCTCCTCTCCGCAAGAGCGAGCTCGAATACTACTCCATGCTGTCAAAGACCAATGTCCACCATTTTGCGGGAAACAACGTGAGTGATATAACACAAGCAAGGCCCTGAGAAGGAGCTCTTTCGCTCTGGAGGGACATCAGCTAACACGATCTCGTCCCCGTTTTAGATCGAACTGGGCACCGCAGCTGGTAAGCTGTACAGATGCTCGACAATGGCCATCCTGGATCCGGGCGACTCTGACATCCTAGGCGCTGCTTCGTGAGCGAGGCAAGATGCGTGGGGATACATTGTCGCCTGTCATGTAATGAAACTTCCCAACCCAGGCCGATTGCATTCAAGAAAGCGTTGAGACCAAAAAATGCTGGCGCAAGTGCTGGGCCATGTTCTGAAATCGTGTAACCACGATAGGAACCAATGGATTAAAGATATTCCCAATGAACGCAGAGCTTGCTCTCAACTTCAACAAGTCTCAGGTAGCATCTTGAAAGTTCTGCATGATCTCCTGAAGTGCTCGATATCCTCTTACAAGCACCTGTAGAAGTAAATTCGATCTTGTGGCAGGCCACGGATCTACTTGGGGCCGCCCGCACTCAGAGCCAAAACCTGCCGAAGCCGGGTAATGACTCAAAATGGCAAGTTGTGCGGCTCTAGGTGGCGTAAATCGCACTGCCCACTGGCTTGGCATTTGGCTTTGAAATCCAAAACCTGTACAAAGGGTCATCGCCGCCTCTTCAACTTCTTCCCTTGGGACTATCGTTCGCAAGAAGTGCAAGTCAGTCTGTAAAATTGTCACAATGGCCAGAAGACCTGCTCGCTGCTACCGTTACTGCAAGAACAAGCCTTATCGTGAGTTCCCCTGCCCCTCGAAAGACCGCACCGTCTTTCACGTACTCGTTTTTGTCGTTCTGCCAACGACGGTACATGCTAACGGAGATGCGCAGCAAAATCCCGATTCAACCGCGGTGTACCTGACCCCAAGATTCGTATCTTCGACCTCGGACGAAAGCGTGCCAATGTCGACGAATTTCCTCTCTGCGTCCACATGGTCTCGAATGAGTACGAACAACTGAGCTCTGAAGCCCTTGAGGCCGCCCGTATTTGCGCCAACAAGTATGTCTACCGACGATCCAAGATATTATCTGGTCTAACACAAGTCCTAGGTATCTCGTCAAAATTGCCGGCAAAGAAGGTTTCCATTTGCGTATCCGAGCCCACCCGTACCATGTCGTCCGCATCAACAAAATGTTGTCCTGCGCTGGAGCCGATAGACTTCAAACCGGTATGAGAGGTGCGTGGGGCAAGCCCAACGGCACTGT